GGTTCTCAAGCTGAAGAACAACCGAGATATCCAACTCGAGAAAGAAGACCCTCTACAAGATACCCATCTGACAAATACACCGTTGTTGCTGAAGACGGTGAGCCTCAGTGTTATGATGAGGCTGTAACGAGCTCAGAGAAAGAAGAATGGAAAAAGGCAATGCAGGACGAGATGAAGTCTCTGCACGAGAATCAGACTTATGAGCTGACCGAGTTGCCAAAAGGAAGAAGAGTTTTGAAAAATAAATGGGTTTACAAGATTAAGAATGAAGAGAACGGGCAAAAGCCAAGATACAAAGCCCGAATTGTAGTGAAAGGCTGCAATCAGAAGAAATGAGTAGACTTTGAGGAGATTTTTTCTCCTGTGGTGAAAATGACCTCGGTCCGAACTGTGTTAGTCATGGCGGCTTCAATGGACCTCGAGATAGAACAAATGGACGTGAAGACGACATTTCTTCACGGTGACTTAGAAGAAGAAATATATATGGAGCAACCTGAAGGATTCCAAGCTCCAGACCAAGAAGACTTGGTATGTCGGTTGAAGAAGAGCCTCTATGGCTTGAAGCAAGCACCTCGACAGTGGTACAAGAAATTTGAATCATTCATGACTGATCATAAGTTTGAGAAGACTGAAGCCGACCACTGCGTATTTATGAAGAGGTATGAGGCCGAAGATTTTCTGATTTTGTTGTTATATGTTGACGACATGCTTATTGTAGGGAAAGATAAATCGAGGATAGCCGCCCTGAAAAAGGCATTAAGCTCGTCCTTCGCAATGAAGGACCTCGGCCCTGCAAAGCAGATTCTCGGAATAAAGATTATCCGAGATAGACAGAAGAAGCTATTGTGGCTGAGTCAAGAGAAATATATTGAGAAGATTCTGAAGAGATTCAGCATGGACAAAGCCAAAACAGTGAGCACCCCCCAGCCGGACACATAAAGCTGAACCAGAAGCAATATCCGAGATCTGATGAAGACAAAGATGAGATGATGAAGGTCCCTTACCAATCCGCCGTCGGAAGCTTGATGTATGCAATGGTTTGCACTAGACCCGACTTGGCGTATGCTGTTAGAATGGTAAGCCGGTATTTGTCAAACCCCGACAAAGAGCACTGGGAAGCAGTGAAGTGGATCTTCAAGTACCTTCGAGGTACGACCGACTTATGTCTCCGATTTGGAGAAGGCAAAGCCGAGTTGCAAGGCTACTCGGATTCTGATTTAGGGGGAGACGCCGACTCGAGGAAGTCGACTACAGGATATTTGATGAGATTTGCCGGAGGAGCTGTCTCTTGGCAATCAAGACTTCAGAAATGTGTTGCACTATCTACAACTGAGGCTGAGTACATTGCCGCTACTGAGGCAAGCAAAGAGATGCTGTGGATGAAGAAGTTCCTCATGGAACTCGGCCATGATCAAGACAAGTACGAGCTGGGTTGTGACAATCAAAGCGCAATCCATCTTGCGAAGAATTCAACCTATCACTTCCGCACTAAGCATATTGATGTGAGGTATCACTGGATCCGGGATGTGGTGGAAGGTGGTGAGCTCGAACTCGTCAAGGTGCACACTGACCAAAATTGGTCCGACATGATGACGAAGCCGGTTCCAGCAAGAAAATTTGAAGACTGCTGTGAAGGAGCCGGATTGATGCTGAGGCCGACGCATTGAAGTCGAAGGGGGAGATTTGTTGGGCTTCCTCCTTCAATGCTAAGCCCAAGCCCATTTGAGGGGTTTCCTAAAAACCCTAACCCTAATTTCCACCTCCTCTATATATACTCATTGTTGTAGGTGGAGGCTAGGTTAGATTTGAGAGAACAGATTTGAGAGGTCAAATTTGAGAGAACAAATTTGACAGAATTATTTGATTGTTTGAGCAAAAGCTTTATGCTTTGCATTTGAGAGATCTCTAGAGAGAGTTTGAGTGAAACATCTCTAGGGTAGTTTGATTATCACCATTGTTGGAGAGGTTGAGTTAACCACCACATTGGTGTATTTGATTATTTGTAACCATTATCATCATAGTGGATTTTTGATCTGGACTAGGTCCCGTGGGTTTTCACTTCTTCATTGGAGAAGGTTTTCCCACGTTAAAACTGGTTGTGTTCTTCTTCTCTCTCTCTCCTATTTTGATTTTTTCGTTTTTGATTGTTCCGCTGCGCTGCCTGACCTGGTGAAGTTCAGGCCGAGGTATTGCCGAGATCCAAGATCAGGATCTTGTTGATTGACTTCCGCACAAAGGCTGCTTAGCCGAGCTTGAGGGAACCGAGTTTTCCCAACAAATATAACTTGCCCCATGAAGATACCATCCAAGCTTTAATATATGGTGGAGATTGGCTACGTAATAAGTATGGCTTGAAGAAAAATAAAAAGGTATAAAAATGTTTTTTCTTCTTCTATTCTTTAATCTTATTTTTTGTTTTGTATATTTACAAATTGTTTGCTAACCCTGGGAATTGTATTTGCAAGAGAGAAAAGATGCTGAGAAGCTCTTGACTACTACAAGCATCATGATGCATTTATTGGATTTGTGCAGTTATTTTAATTTACATAGTATGGATTGATTTGTTGGATTTGATAAAATACATGTTATTTAGTTTGAGCATTTTGCTTTTGAAAGTGACTTAAATGCAGATTGTGATAAGTTGTTGTTATAATTCATGGTTTTGTTTGAATGTTGAAATTGTGATTTTTGTTTTAATAACAGGATTTGAGTATTTTGTAAAGTTAATTCATATTCTGCTTGGAAGTTAAAAATTAACAGGCTAACGGGTCAGGCTAGACCATTTATTTTTTTATAAATAGGTCAGGTCAGACTAACAGTTAGACTTATATTATGCTATTGGGTCAGGTCAAATTAAATTCTTTTGGCATATGTTTAAGTTTTTCGGAACAAAGCTTGGCTCAGCTTATTTTCATCCTGCTCGTGAGTCTCATTTGATGACCTATATATCAGCATGGTTAAATAAAAGCTGAGAAGCATCTCTGGTCGAAGCGAATTATTGTGCTAATTGGCTTTGAAATCTGCCTCTTAATCATTCAGACATGGCTAATAGGTCTCTTTTTGCATCTCCCCCTCTCTATTACAAAAAATAAAAATAAAAAAATTATTACATTAGTAAATTTTAAAGTATTTTCATATAAATTATAACATCAATTTTTTTTTACAAAATTAAAAACTATAATTAACTATAACCACAATAATTATTGAAAAACTCTTCCAATTTGACCTTAAAATATATGCATGTGTGTGTGTTCAATCACATTCTCTCGTTTTCGAGTAAAATACTTCAGTAAATTTATAGGAGATAGAATTGAAATTCTGTGTGCAGGATCTGACAGAATTCGTGTCTACCTGACATTCTAAACTCACAGCCTCAAAATTTCAAGGATATTAAAGAGAGATAAAAATTTTGTTAAATATTCAATCATTTTTTCTAAGTAACTCATTTAAAAGTGCATTAGCCAAACAATTTATAGTAGGCTGTAATGTTAATCCAGAAGCAAATCTTAATCATTGCTTTCACATATAAAGTAATAAAACACAACACATTGGTTTAACAGTGGGTAAATATGTAACGTATGAGTATACGCGTAGTCATATGCACAAATCTTAAACCGTAATAAATATTTTTATAAATTTCTCTCTCTTTTTTTTTTTTTTTTGTAGTTGTAAATTACTTAAACGGCTTAGTCAATATGTATATGTACAAATTAGTCTCGATGTCACATAATTGCAATTAAAAAAACAAAAAAAATGAGTTGTCGACCTAACATCCTTGCGTTAGGTGTCATTACAACATTCTTGTCTTTTAACTCTTTCAATTATTTTTAGCAAAAGCATACCGCTAAGCCAAAAGGATGAAAACATTAAATCAATTATATATCCATGGAGTGTTAAAGACTTTGAATGTCTCATCAACCAAGAGTTGATCTCAATTCTCATTTCACGTGCATTATTTTCTTGACTATTCGATTGGGTTTGATTTTATTTTGACTTTTGTATGCATACAAAATAGCTTTATTTGGTAAGACAGGTTAATTTTTAGTATAGGAACATAGTTAAGTATGCACTCGGTGAAATCACGATAAGCATGTAGACTAACTACTATGAAGTCAGTTCTCCACATTGTGCCAAAGAAATTCAATCAGTTCTCTGTATGATCTTTCACGTTCATAAACTAAGTTCTCAAATTTACATCTATAAAATAAATTTTAAAAGAATAATGTGTTAATTTATTATAATAATTAATTTTTCAAGAATAATTTTTAGTAAAATGATTTAATAATAAATTTTTAAAATATTTGACATTGTATGATCTTATTTTTATTTGCACTACGTCCCATGAAGCCACAAAAATCTAAATTAATCAACAAATTACAGACTGATGTTTTCTTCTTTTTAATGAAAATAAGTATGAAAAGTTTAGATAATTTACAAAAATAACAAATTTAAACTTCGGTCATAAAAAAAATTGCAGAACTCATTATTAAGTTGTGAGTGTTTATCCTTTAAAATGACACAACTTATATTCTTTCACTTTCACAAAGAGGTGAGACTTACACCTTTATTTTTTTTGTCTACTCTCTCCTCTTTTATTTATCTATTTCTCTTTCTTAAAATGACACAACTTTACCTCCTTTAAAATGACATATATCTTTCTCAGGCTCACGATTTTTTTTTCCTTTTTTTTAAAAAATCTGTCTTAATTTATAACGTACCGTGGTGGTGGGGGCTCTGTAAGACTGCAATCTAGCCTCTCAGAGATATGATATTGTTGAAGTTGGGCCTTCAGAATTCAGATTTGCTCCCCTGTTTTTCTATCTCTCTCTCTCTCTCTTCAGTTCTCGCTCTCGTCAATTATTTCATAATTTTTTTATTTTACTTTAAATCTCTGTGAAAGATTACAGATAAATAAATATCACTATGTATATTGATTATTGAGAAATAATTAAAGTTCCTGTATCTCATTCTTTTCTCATTTTATATGTATAAGGGAGGACGTAAGGAAATATCTGATCATACGAGAGAAAAAAAGAAAAAAAGAAAAAGCTAAATATTAGAGAATAGAGGATGAATGGTGTGACACAGGTTGAACCAGATTCCTCTGAGTTTGTTGAAGTTGATCCAACTGGTAGATATGGCAGAGTATACTCTCTTTCTCTTTCTCTTTCTCTTTTCTTCCTTTTTTCTTCTTATCATGTTCCGGGCATAGTTTGAACTTTGATGATGATGTTGTTTTCCTTGTTTTTTTGTAGTACAATGAAATCCTCGGCAAAGGAGCTTCCAAGACAGTGTATGAACATTCATACAAACTCATCTTATTCCTTTTGTTTCTGTTACACACCCATTTCTTATTTTTCTAAAATTTGAGTTTTTTTTTTTTTTTTTTTCCCAGTTGATTTATGCCACTGGCCCATTACTGATTACATCATAACCGAAGCTCCTCTTTGTTTTTCTTTGAGTTTGTAGAAATGGGAATTTGGCAGTTTTTTTTTTTTTTTTATAATTTATTTTCAATTGATGCAGATATAAAGCATTTGATGAGTATCAAGGGATTGAAGTTGCTTGGAACCAGGTCAAACTAAATGATTTCCTGCAAAGCCCTGAAGATCTCGAGAGGCTTTACTGCGAAATTCATCTCCTGAAGACATTGAAGCACAGAAACATTATGAAATTTTACACGTCTTGGGTCGATACTGCAAATAGGAATATCAATTTCGTTACTGAATTGTTCTCTTCTGGTACTCTTAGACAGTGAGTTCTCTGAAGTTTTAACTTTTTTCCCCCCTCTTCTACGTTATATATATGATCATTATCCTTTTTGTGCTTTTTAGATATTGTATTATTTCTTCTTCTTTCACCTATTTTAATTATCAAAATAGGTATAGGCTAAAGCACAAGAAAGTGAACATCAGAGCCGTGAAGCATTGGTGTAGACAGATCCTGAGAGGACTTCTCTATCTTCATAGCCATGACCCGGTTGTGATCCATAGAGATCTCAAATGTGATAATATTTTTGTCAATGGAAACCAAGGTGAAGTGAAGATTGGGGATCTTGGCCTGGCAGCAATTCTCCGGAAATCTCATGCTGCTCATTGTGTAGGTATGTTTATTTCATGTTTTATATATCATAGAAGAAGGAATCAAGAGAAAACCTGTCCAACTCCAACACCAATTGCAATTAGTCCACTTACTTGATGCCTTCTTTTGAAAATTATTTGGCAGTTACATACGAAACTGTATGATATATCTTAACCGGTTGATGTTCTTATGATAATTAGAGGATTGCTTTGAACAAGGATCAGTAATTCTAGTTAGAGTTTCATCTGTTACATTTGTATTTCCACAGGAACACCCGAGTTCATGGCACCAGAAGTATATGAAGAGGCATATAATGAATTAGTTGACATCTATTCCTTTGGGATGTGCATATTAGAAATGGTCACATTTGAATATCCTTATAGCGAATGCAACCATCCAGCACAAATCTACAAGAAAGTTATTTCTGTATGATTGCTTCTTTATCTTTTCCTTCGTGATAATTGTATTTTTTCTGGAGTGGCAAGATTTCGTTGACATTTTACATCTCCAGGGGAAAAAACCAGATGCTTTGTATAAAGTGAAGGATCCAGAAGTGCGCCAATTTGTTGAGAAATGCCTGGCAACAGTGTCTTTAAGGCTCTCTGCAAGGCAGCTTCTAGATGATCCTTTTCTTCGGAATGAAGACTACGAATATGATCTGGGACCAGTAGACGGCAGAGCATTTGATGGCTTGGGTCCTCTCATCAGTCAGCCATTCTTGGATCTCCATCGGAGCTATAGTAACTTAAGTACTGAATGCTCAAATGGCTTTGGATATGGGGACTGGTATTCTCATCTAGCGGAGGTTGAACCTAATGGAATTGAACTTTTCGAGTGCCATGACGATGAACCCTCGGCAGATGTTGACATAAGCATCAAAGGCAAGAGGGATGATGAAAGTGGCATCTTTTTGAGACTAAGAATTGCAGATAAAGAAGGTTGGGATGCCATTTTTATTATGTTGGTACTTTATACCCATTACTTGTATATTTCAGGATGGAATTTGTTTTTTATAGTCTGACTTATTTATGTTGCAGGCCGAATTCGAAATATTTATTTCCCATTTGATCTAGAGATGGACACAGCAATAAGTGTAGCAAGTGAAATGATTGCGGAACTCGACATTACCGATCAGGATGTTACCAGAATAGCAGATATGATAGATGGGGAAATTGCTTCCTTAGTACCTGAATGGAGGCCAGGACCAGGAATTGAGGAAACTACCCATTTTACAAATCAAAGTTTGTGTCACAATTGTGTGTCTAATCATACTTCTGGTGGCAATGTTATGGATTTTCTTTCACATAATCAGGGTGGGAAGAACTTGCAGCTTCTTCAGTGCTCTAGGCATGGATGTGCTTCAATGCATGGGCGGTTTGAGGAGATTACCTTCCAATCTGAGGAGTATGACAATCATGTTAGAGAGGATGCACCTAACGTATCAAGCCAACCAGACTGCTTGCAGTATCAGGAGTTATGGAATCATCAGGAAAGTCGTGAACTGAGTCCAGTGGAGTCTGATCAAAGCCATTCTGATGAACAATATGAACAACTAGACAGATCAGTATTAGCAGAAGACAAAGGACACGATGTTTGGGAAAACAAGTTTGCATCCGATGCAAACTCCTCACGAAATTCATCAGGAACTCACTATTTCTCTACAATCAGTTCGTTATGTTGTGGCCTTGAGAATGAATATGAGAGGGAGATCCAACAAGAAATGAGAAGGCTCAGAGCAACATACCAAATGGGGTTAAGGGAACTCAAGGATCAACTTATTGGTCTAACGGCTAAATCTTCACACACTTGTTACGGAGAGCTCAAAACAGATCAAGGCATTGTGACACCACCTTCACTAACAGCAACTGTAAACGGAGACGACCATGGGATATACTTGAAACCCTTTGATAATCTCTGGAATGGTGATTCCAGTTGCCATTCTCAAGTCCAAAAGATCCACCCCAATTTGGACACCCAAAGGGCCCAAAATTGTGAGGTGATGTGTTCTCCTCGAGACAGTATGGTTACTGCAAAGAATTTTTACACAGAATCGTTGCTTCCAGACACACTACACAGGACAGTTTCCCTCCCTGTTGATGCTGTGGATTTATAATTTTATGATGCAATCTTTGAATTCTTTGTGGATTATGTATATACACTAGTAGAGGCTATCTAATTTGCACATTCCACCCCATTTTATTTTTCTCTCGAGAATTTCAAATTGCCTACAAGGAAACCAAATCCTTTTCCTACAAAAGTATCAATATACAGTAAAGTGCCATGTATTTAGAGTAATCAGATTTTTTATTATTATTATAATTTTTTTTTTGGGTGAGGTTAGTGGCCATCGTGAATGTGGCTTGTTTGATATCAAGTATAACGATAGGTCAAGTCTATGTAAATTTGGCTAAGTCTTTCTTCAAAACCCAATATTGGAATAACTAGGAATGAGAACACAACGTGTCAAGTTGAATGTATGTTTTTCTCTGAATAGGACTGCAATAATTGAGCGTGACAACTGGGTCAAAATCGCCGTTAAAAATAATGCGCGTGGAGATTGAACCATTGTTGGCTGTGTATTTAAGTTAGTCAATGAACCTATACGATTCTGCCAAAACATTGAGCATATATTCAATTTGGTGCAATAACCCGTCTGGTTGTTTCTGAATTTTGAGAAAAGCAACTAAATAAATTGTGACATTAGTTCACTCGTTTTGTATTTTCCCCCAATTCGCTGCACTATATACATTTATTAAAATCAGTGCTGATGAAAGGGAGCGATTATTTATATGCATGGGAAGGGAAAAGGCCGAAGGTACGATCAATCTTGGACTTGTTTATTTTCTGGGAGGCAGCGGCGACTTTTTTTTAAGTTGTCATCATCATGGCATCAAATCGATTTTCAAGTTAAACCTACATGTAGCTAGCATATATAATAACAGAGCTTATGTCAGAGAGATCAAAGTGATAATTCTCCCAACTAAATATTGGCGTCCGTCAAGACAAATACTAAAAAAATAAATTAAACATTGAAATTTTCTTTTGTTTAATATACGCAACATGCAATACAATAAATGACTTGGTTTTTAAAGGAATATGTTCCAACAGCATGCATGAGCAAATTCTGGAAAAGTCCACCGAATTTAACAGCAGAGCAATTTCTACACAAAAAGGACAACTTAAAATTAAGGCGACAAATTAATTGTCTGTAACATTGCATATATTCTTTAGAATTGATCCTGCTGGTAATTTGTACAACTAAACACCATCAATATTTAAGATTGAACATTCTATAGTGACACGACATCATTACTGACAATGGCCGCAGCATATAACCTAGCAGATTGAGTAGCAGGACAATATCAATAGTTTTAACGTTATTCAGTATTACTCTAGATGATCCCCAACTATGCAATCACAACCCAATTTCGGCTCATAACTCTAGAAGGCTAGAAGCAGAATGCAAGCTAGTACGCAAGCATATCATCACAATTTACAATGGCCGCAAAAGTGGGTAATCTTCAAGTAGCTCCCGTTCTGAGAGAGTATCATTCTCATTCTGAGGGGTCCATAAAACCTCAACTGCCTGCAAGTAATTCAAGCACATAGTGATATCGTTTCAAAGAAATGTACTACAACATCTGCAAAAGGAGTAAGAAAATATCATTGATCTTACTAATAATTTGCTCGAGGGAATGGATCCAAGTTTTTGTAAAGCTTCCTTCAAGTCTCCACTTCCATTGATGCTAGGAAGTTTATGTTCTCCTTCAGCAGCTGCCAAGATTGTTATCTGATATATAAGAACATAGGTTAGAAGAAAGACGTAAGAACTGTGCCCATGGAACTTCACCCTTTTGTGTAACAAGGGGGGAAGAAGTTGGAACCAGTAAAATGCATGCAAGAATACAACATATTGGAAACACAAATTAAGAATGTCATTCAGAAACAAGATGATACCACTATGTATTCATTGCTGAACCCATTTGCTCTCTGGCTTCTTGTGCTTTGCCTCTTTATGTTATTTACATTAACCAGTGTTTCTTCATCAAATTTCCCCCGCTCTTCAATTGAAAGTTGATTAAAACGTTTCTCCCCATCTTCTATACCCCGCTTTATGTCCACCTGCAAAAATTACAGGAAATCCAACTTTCCATAAACTCGTTTGCAATTAGTTCTACTGCAGCAGATGTTTCAGGTAAGGTCAAATATAGAGTATAATTGAAATTACATGTAAGCTTGGAAATATTTTTCATTGATGATGAACTTAAAAAAATAAAATAAGTTTCGTTTTCTAGTAGATATCAGATACAATTAATTTGATGAGCAGCAGACCTTAGAGTTTAAGTATTACTTTTTTGGACAAAAAAAAAAAAAAACTTCTCGTTTATAACATAGAGCTCATATTTTCTCAAAACTTAAAAGGCACAATTTTTAATACCATTGAATTGGAAGCTCTCTATCCATTTTAATGCTTTCTGTTTTAAACTGAAGTGAAAAACTAGGATATTAATGTGGAATGTGGTAGTGTAACAAGATCTCATCTATCACAGCAATAAAAATGGTCTGTTACAATGCATTAATGTCAAGTTGTTATCAACGAAAATTAACATGATTAATAGTACAATAGCACAAAGTTGTAAGCAGTATGATGCGGTTCAACCCATAAAAGTCTATAAAAGAGCCAAGAAGAGAAAGAATTGGGGCCCAGCAGAGACCCAAGTGGTTGGTTAGTAGTTGCTGACTCAGCAATTATCTGAAAGTCCAAGCGATGATAAATAGAGGAGGGAGACAGAAAGGAAAAGTTTACCAAAGAATAACAGAGGAAGCAAAGCTTTGGAGAGGAAAGGGACTGTCGAATTTCCCTACCATTTTCATTGTACTGTAATTAGTTGTTTCTGTTGTTAAGCTCTATAAATAGCTGTGTAGTAGGAGGAACCATTGTACCAAGAATTTTTCTCTCTCTCAGAAATAAAACTGACTTCTTTGAGAATTATTTCTTCTTCTATTATTCTTCTTTCGTTGTTTAATTTAAGAGTCTGTGTCACAGTAACATCAAGAAGCCAATGAAGGCTCTCGGAGATTAAAGTCACTTACAGATGAATATGCTGAGATACAGTAATCAGGATGTCGAAGCAAAGCTAATGTTGTCTCTGACAAAAAATCAGATAAAGAAGTAAATGAGAATAGAGAGGAGATCATACAGCCATGTTGCTTTACGCTATACATTATATAACAATCATAAGTAATTCAATATTTAAAGTAAATATCTCTTTTCAAGATTTCCTATATTTCCTTTAACCATAAATTTGACCTGCATATCATTTTCCAGATACATCCACACTACATTGGTTAAAATGCAAATATCAAATTAAACCTAGAAGCTTTATTCTTAATTACGAATGGAAGTATAAACCTTAATACTTACACATTAATTGAAGAATATATTCAATGCTTAAAGTATTATGATATATAAAATTCGAGGCTTAGAACTATCCTCACATAAAGTGAAGTTTTGTGATGCATCTAACATTATTCTCCAGAACTTTCCTTTCTTTTGGTTAAAGAAGATATTCTGTTGGAGCAGGGGACAAAATGTCATCCAATAGAATATTTTCGTCATGATTATGCGAAGTTCATAATTAAAGCCCTTAGAACACTAACACCACAAATCACTAATTTTCACTTAAATATGCCACCAATCCATGGTTACATAAAATAGTGAAAATACTAATCATGTTTACATGTTCAGGAAACCTTTCAAGAAATACCATATTGGTGATACAAAGACAAATGATAAACATGTGACAAAAATAATTGCGTAGTTAGGAGTTTCACCTGTCAATACATAATTCAAACCTTCAGAAGTTGATGTATCTGCAACTTGTGCAATCCTATTCAGATCACTTTGAAGTGAGCGACCCATCCCCAACAACCCAACCTAAAAGAACAACAGCATTAAATTTTGAAATTCACCAAATATTTAAGACTCGTGAATAAACTGACACCGATTGTGCTGTGCAATGGTAGCTAACAAGCTGCTGACAAACAAGCCTTCAAATCCAATTAAACTAGTAACAAACCTTGCCCGCATGTTCTTAGGTTCAGAAATCTAAGCCAACATTGTATGCAATAGTCAGAGAAAACATAGTAGCAATGCATAACTTCAAGTAAGCAGCACAATTTACTGAAAGCACATAAAGCAAAAATGCTTTATGCTAATGCCAGCAATCAATCGAGAAAGAAACTATTAATGCAAGTGCTAAAAATTGTTTCAAATAGTTTTATTACATGAAAAACATGACCACACCTGAAGCTTTAGCACAGTGATTTTCTTGGTGGCAGTGAGTACACTACCCTCTGACTGATCCAAAAATAACCTAGAAACCAAAGTAAATGCCATTAAACCCACTAAGATGAGAAAGAAACTGGATCCTCCGCCCATTCTGAACCCTACTACAGGTCGAACGTAAATCTCATGAACACCAATACCAAACCCTAATGAAGAAGGCGCGTAATATGGTGCTGAGAAAGAGAAGCCTAGGGTGGAACTAGGGATTGAGGATGTCCTGGCCACCGAATAACTCCTGGATGAAGATTGAGAAGAGAAGGACCCCTCACCCATTTGACCACCAGATGCTGCTAATGTAGAGTTGGGATCGTACATTAACAGCAGGCCTAGCAAAACCGTAGCCATGGCTAGTTTCTGCAACCCCTTCAGCACATTTGATGCTCTATTCACAAGAACGTCGAATGGGGGTTTCAAGCTTGAGTTGTCTTGCTTCTGATTTTGCTTGTGCGATAAGAGACTTCTGGTGCTAGATGTCACAGAATTACTTGTATAGAATATCGGAGTAAATTTATCACGTTTTGTGAAACAGCGGATACTGTGTGGCCGAAGCGCGCAATATGGGGGAAATTGTACTACGAAGCTCTGCTTCCATTTCACGTTCATGGAGGTAGCTGCAAGTAACAAAGTTGCGGGCATGGTCATGGATTGGATGAGAGATAATTGGTGAGGGCCAAGAGAATTGAGGGAGGTGTGGAATTGGAAGAGGAAAATTTTGGGGGAAAGAATGTAAGGATTGTGAAAATCGGATCCAGTAATCTATTTGTCCCTCTTCCAAATAGGAAATAGCAATTGGAGGACAAACTCATTTTTCCATTGGCCACGGCACACCACGTGGCTCAATCCGCATTGTACATGACATTCTTTCGTAATCTATAGTAAATAAATAAATAAACAAATAAAATCCAAAGCGAAAGAATATCCAAACCAAAATATCCATACTTAATAGGTATTTTCTATGTTCTCATTCATTGCAGGTTAACAGAATGTATTCACTCAATGAAACAGCAACCCAAGTTGACACAACCCACAAGGAAGGGCATGTTCAGGGAGGTAGGCACAAGTAGATCATCAGCTACAAGAAAATCAATTACCTGATCGCGACACTTTATTATTCTTAATACAGATCTGAAAGAACCCGTGCGAATAAGCTTTCATAGTTTCTTTACTTGTTGTTCAAATGAAGTCTACAGCCCCTTTTGAAGGGGCCACTGCTTCTGATACAACTCAATGCATCCATCCCTCCCATCCAAAACTTACCCAATGCTCCGAATAGCATTAGCCTTCAACTAGCTCCTTTCGCAACTTGAAGAATTCAGTTAATTATGAGCCATCTACATAGTACAGCTAAGAGTGTCAATCCGTATCTATTAAAAAAAAGAGGGTCAATCTGTTTCCCCTATAAGTTAGAACACTGCTCTGTTTCTTTCCTTTTATATATGCCATAACAATAATTCGAATGCAATATATAAGTCATGCCTTTCAATACCCTCAGCCTTAATTATACTCACCAATCACCGTCTCCATCCAACAACCAAACATCAAACCTGATTTTTGTTGCCTTCTGAATTAAAGTATTCTTAAACTTGTAGTCATTGAAATATGTATATACTTTTTTCCACTAGTATTATTCTTAGGATCATGATATAAAACAAATTATAAACAAGTGGCAAAAATAACCCCATACTTATGAGCTTCACCTGTCAATACATAATTCAAACCATCAAAAGATGATGCAACTTGTGCAATCCTATTCAAATCCCTTTGAAGTGAGCGACCCAACCTAAAAGAACAACACCTCCATCCAATGTTGTTAAAACGTAGAGTCTACGTAGAAACGGTAGGGTTGAACAAAATCGCAAAATCGTAAGACATAAACGAACCGTAAGAGTTTCCTACGCATCAAAAAAAGTAAATATCCAACGTATATAAAACAGAAACACACCAATATTAAAGAAACAAATCAGTCCTTATTCAAATTAGATAAAAATTGAATTAATACATATTTAAAATTTCATTATTTGATCAGATAAAAAACAAAGAAAGAAAGGAATTTCGATAATTGATGGATCATTTCATTTATAATATTAAAGAAACAAAATAAATGATAGTACATAAAGTTATAAAAAAAAATGAGGCATAAAATTTCATGAGTCAGCGTGTAAAATTTCATCTCAATTTTGTAGCAAGCGCAAAAGCATTTTGCCACGTCAAAGGGAAATGGTGTTTTAGTCATCAAGCATAAAACGAGATCCAATATTGTCTTTGCACAATAAAATTGCAGTTTCTCTCATCCGCATGCTAACATAGAGCAGCCTTTCCCCCTTGGTTCCCCCCAACGGCTTCTACACATATAAACCCCAGTCACACTTTGAGTCTCAGATGCTCTCTCTCTCTCTCTCTTCGAGGCTCGATTTCGCCGTCAATGGCGAGCTCTAATTCTCAGAATAGTAGCTCCATCAGGTATGCCTTTGGAAACGTTCTCGCGTTCTTCATCCCAGCCACTACTTGCAGCAACTTTTTTTTTTCAGTACTGAGTTAACTCGGTTGACTAGTTAACTTGGCGTTACAACTTTTTCTACTCCAAATACGTTTTTTCTACCATGGTTCTGACACGTTTTTTAAGGAAAAAAACATAGAAATAGACGTTTCTACATTTCGACACTATGTTTTAACAACAATGCCTCCATCTAAATTCACCAAATAGAATCATGAATAAACCGACACTTATTGTGCCGTGCAATGGTTCCTAAACCCAATTAAAACATCAACAAATCTTGCCCCCCTAACCTTTGGTTCATAAAACTAAACGCACATTACATTATAAGCATTAGTGAGAGAAATGTAAACACAGTAGCAATCCATTACTTCGCTAGTCCACTAGCACGGGTAAAAGCATAGCTGTTGATCTTTCAAACCCACAAGCAATAATACCAACAGAATTACATGAAGCATGACAAAATAGTTTATGCTAATGGCAGCAAAGCAAGCAATGAAGAAAGAAACTAAAAGTCCTAAAAGTGACCACACCTGAAGCTTGAGAACGGTGGTTTTGCCAGCGGCGGTGAGCACACTACCTTCAGACCGATCGGAGAGAAAGCCAGAAACCAAAATAAAGGCAGCGAAGCCCATTAAGATGAGAAAGAAACTGGAGCCAGCACCCACTCCGAACCCAACGGCAGGCCCAACATAAACCCCACCGCCGAATGGAGCAGGCCCATAATATGGCACCGAGTAAGAGAACCCTTGCCCTGGGCTTGAGGGCACAGAATAACTCCTCGAAGAAGAAGAAGAAGAAGATGAAGAAGAAGAAAAGGACCTTCCACCCATTCGACCTCCAGATGCAGCTAATGCAGAGTTGGGGTCGTACATTAACAGCAACCCTACCAACACCGCAGCTATGGCCGGCTTTCGCAACGCCTTCAGCGCATTCGATAAAGTACTGGCCAGAACCTCCAACGGGAATTTTGAGGTGGACGAGTTTTCTTGCTTCCGCGATGACACACATTTGGCGCTGTTGTGTTTATATGTGGCAGGTATTATTGGAGTGAATTTAACAGGCTTTGTGATTCCATGCCGTGGCAAAGGCAAAGGGAATTGCTTCCATTTCAAATAGGAGGGATTGGCTTCGAGTAACAAAGTTGTAGGCATGGTCATGATGCTATTTTTATTTTATTTTTATTATTTCGAATTGAATTGAATTGGAAAGGGGGAATAATTTGGATGATAGTAAAAGGAATGTGAATATGTGATCGGAAAATAGCAATAGAGGAAGGGACTTGTGATGTGTGCGCGTTCTGGCCAGGTAGGCACCCTCGGCCCCCAGTTTTGGGAACCTCATCTCATCCCCAATTCTATGTCCTTTTCATTTTCATCACAACTCCTCTTTCCACACGCCACGTGGCTCAATCCACATTGCTTCTCACATTTTCCTAAAATAAAAGTAAACAAAGGATATATTTCTTTTGATATTACAAAAATACTTAAAATTACGTGGGATCTATATTTTTTCTTTACAAGTCCCATATATTTTTAACTGTGTACAACATAAAAAATAGTAAACTCATAAATAAATCCAAGGTAATACTTTTCTTATATTGCATAAGAAAAACAATATCTCCTACATTTATATTTTTCAAATGAATCGCATAAATTTTTTTTCGGTCCCATAAGAATTTTTTGAAGTTTCGATCAATCTTGAATTTACTTATTTTCCGAGATGCAGCGGCAACTTTTTTTTTTTTAAGTTGTCATGCATCAAATGGATTTTAAAGTCAAGCCTACTTGTAGCTAACATATATAATAACAGAGCTTATGTGAGAGAGATCAAAGTGATAATTCTCCCAACTAAATATTAGCGTCCGTGAAGACAAATACTAAAAAATTAAATTCAACATTGAAATTTTCTTTTGTTTTATATACGCAACTTGCAATAGAATAAATGACTTGGTTTTTCAATTTTTCAAAATATATGTTCCAATAGCATGCATGAACAAATTCTGGAAAAGTCCACCGAATTTAACAGCAGAGCAATTTCTACACAACAAGGACAACTTAAAATTAAGGTGACAAATTAATTGTCTGTAACATTGCATATATTCTTTAGAATTGATCCTGCTGGTAATTTGTACATCTAAACACCATCAATATTTAAGATTGAACATTCTATAGTGACACGACATCATTACTGACACTGGCCGCAGCATATAACCTAGCAGATTGAGTAGCAGGAAAATATCAATAGTTTTAACGGTATTCAGTATTACTCTAGATGATCCTCAACTATGCAATCACAACCCAATTTCTGCTCATAATTCTAGAAGGCTAGAAGCAGAATGCAAGCTAGTACGCAAGCATATCATCACAATTTACAATGGCCGCAAAAAAGGGTAATCTTCAAGTAGCTCCCGTTCTGAGAGAGTATCATTCTCATTCTGAGGGGTCCATAAAACCTCAACTGCCTGCAAGTAATTCAAGCACATGGTGATAGCGTTTCAAGAAAATGTACTAACAACACACATGCAAAAGGACTAAGAAAATATCATTGATCTTACTAATAATCTGCTCGAAGGAATGGATCCAAGTTTTTCTAAAGCTTCCTTCAAGTCTCCACTTCCATTGATGCTAGGAAGTTTATGTTCTCCTTCAGCAGCTGCCAAGATTGTTATCTGATAAATAAGAACATAGGTTAGAAGAAAGACGTAAGAACTGTGCCCATGGAACTTCACCCTTTTGTGTAACAAGGGGGAAGAAGTTGGAACCAGTAAAATGCATGCAAGAATACAGCATCTTGAAAACACAAATTAAGAATGTCATTCAGAAACAAGATGATACCACTAGGTATTCATTGCTGAACCCATTCGTTCTCTGGCTTCTTGTGCTTTGCCTCTTTATGTTATTTACATTAACCAGTGTCTCTTCATCAAATTTTCCCCGCTCTTCCATTGAAAGTTGATTAAAATGTTTCTCCCAATCTTCGATACCCCGCTTTATGTCCACCTACAAAAATTACAGGAAATCCAACTTTCCTTAAACTCGTTTGCAGTTAGTTCTACTGCAGCAGATGTTTCAGGTAAGGTCAAATATAGAGTATATTTGAAATTACAGGTAAGCTTGGAAATATTTTCATTGATGATGAACTTAAAAAAATAAAATAAGTTTCGTTTTCTAGTAGATATCAAATACAATTAATTTTACGAGCAGCAGACCTTAGAGTTCAAGTATTACTCTTTTGGACCAAAAAAAAAAAAAAAAACTTCTCGTTTATAACATAGAGCTCATATTTTCTCAAAAATTAAAAGGCACAAAAATTTTAATAGCATTGAATTGGAAGCTCTCTATCCATTTTAATACTTTCTGTTTTAAGCTGAAGTGAAAAACTAGGATATTAATGTGGAATGTGGTGTTGTAACAAGATCTCATCTATCACAGCAATAAAAATGGTATGTTACAATGCATTAATGTCAAGTTGTTATCAACGAAAATTAACATGATTAATAGTTCAATAGCACTAAGTTGTAAGCAGTATGACGCGGTTCAACCCATAAAAGTCTATGAAAGAGCCAAGAAGAGAAAGAAGTGGGCCCCAGCAGAGACCTAAGTGGTTGGTTAGTAGTTGCGGACTCAGCAATTATGTGAAAGTCCCAGGGATGACAAATAGAGGAGGGAGACAGAAAGGAAAAGTTAACCAAAGAATAAGAACAGAGGAAGCAAAGCTTTGGAGAGGAAAGGGACTGTCGAATTTCCCTACCATTTTCATTGTACTGCAATTAGTTGTTTCTGTCGTTAAGCTCTATAAATTGCTGTGTAGTAGGAGGAACCATTGTACCAAGAATTTGTCTCTTTCTCAGAAATAAAACTGACTTCTTTGAGAATTATTTCTTCTTCTATTATTCATCTTTCGTTGTTTAATTGAAGAGGTGTGTATCACAGTAACATCAAGAAACCAATGAAGGCTCTCGGAGATTGAAGTCACTTACAGATGAACATGTTGAGATACAGTACTCAGGATGTCGAAGCAAAGCTAGTGTTGTCTCTGACAAAAAATCAGATAAAGAAGTAAATGAGAATAGAGAGTAGATCATACAGCCATGTTGATTTACGCTATACATTATATAACAATCATAAGTAATTCAATATTTATAGTAAATATCTCTTTTCAAGATTTCCTGTATTTCCTCAACAATAGATTTGACCTGCATATCATTTTCCAGATACATCCACACTACATTGACTAAAATGCAAATATCAAATTAAACCTAGAAGCTTTATTCTTAATTTCGAATGGAAGTATAAACCTTACTACTTACACATTAATTGAAGAATATATTCAATGCTTAAAAGTATTATGCTATATAAACTTCGAGGCTTAGAACTATCCTCACATAAAATGAAGTTTTGTGATGCATCTGACATTATTCTCCAGAACTTTCCTTTCTTTTGGTTAAAGAAGATATTATGTTGGAGCAGGGGACAAAATGTCATCCAATAGAATATTTTCGTCATGATTATGCGAAGTTCATAATTAAAGCCCTTAGAACACTAACACCACAAATCACTAATTTTCACTTAAATATGCCACAATCCATGGTTACATAAAAGAGTGAAAATACTAATCATGTTCACATGTTCAGGAAACCTTTCAAGAAATACAATATTGGTGATACAAAGACAAATGATAAACAATTGACAAAAATAATTGCATATTTAGGAGTTTCACCTGTCAATATATAATTCAAACCTTCAGAAGTTGATGTATCTGCAACTTGTGCAATCCTATTCAGATCACTTTGAAGAGAGCAACCCATCCCCAACAACCCAACCTAAAAGAACAACAGCATTTAATTTTGAAATTCACCAAATATTTAAGACTCATGAATAAATGACACCGATTGTGCTGTGCAATGGTAGCTAACAAGATGCTGAAGAACAAGCCTTCAAATCCAATTAAAATAGTAACAAACCTTGCCTGCACGATCTTAGGTTCAGAAATCTAAGACAACATTGTATGCATTAGTCAGAGAAAACATAGTAGCAATGCATAACTTCAGGTAAGCAACACAAATTACGGGAAGCACATAAAGCAAAAATGCTTTATGCTAATGCCAGCAATCAATCGAGAGAGAAACTATTAATGCAAGTGCTAAAAATTGATTCAAATAGTTGTATTACATGGAAAACATGATCACACCTGAAGCTTTAGCACAGTGGTTTTCTTGGTGGCAGTGAGTACACTACCCTCTGACTAATCCAAAAATAACCTAGAAACCAAAGTAAATGCCATTAAACCCACTAAGATGAGAAAGAAACTGGATCCTCCACCCATTCTGAACCCTACTACAGGTCGAACGTAAATCTCATGGACACCATTTCCAAACCCAAATGAAGTAGGCACGTAATATGGTGCTGAGAAAGAGAAGCTTAGGGTGGAACTAGGGATGGAGGATATCCTGGGCACTGAATAACTCCTGGATGAAGATTGAGTCCTACTCATTCGACCACCAGATGCTGCTAATGTAGAGTTGGGATCGTACATTAACAGCAGGCCTAACAAAACCGCAGCCATGGCTAGTTTCTTCAACCCCTTCAGCACATTTGATACTGTATTCGCAAGAACATCGAATGGGGATTTCAAGCTTGAGTTTTCTTGATTCTGATTTTTCTTGTGAGATAAGAGACTTCTGGTGCTAGATGTCACAGAATTACTTGTATAGAATATTGGAGTAAATTTACCACGTTTTGTGAAACAGTGTATACTGTGTGGCCGAAGCGCGCAATATGGGGTAAATTGTACTAGGAAGCTCTGCTTCCCTTTCACGTTCATGGAGGTAGCTGCAAGTAACAAAGTTGCAGGCACGGTCATGGATTGGATGAGAGATAATTGGTGAGGGCCAAGAGAATTGAGGGAGGTGTGGAATTGGAAGAGTGAAATTCTGTGGGAAAGAATGTCAGGATCGTGAAAATCGGATCTGGTAATCTATTTGTCCCCTCTTCCAAATAGGAAATAGCAATCAGGGGGACAAACTCATTTTTCCATTGGCCACACCACGTGGCTCAATCCGCATTGTACATGACGTTCTTCCGTAATCTACAGTAAACAAATAAAATCCAAAGCGAAAGAATATCAATACTTGATAGGTTTTTTCTATGTTCTCATTCATTGTGGGTTAACAGAACGTATTCACTCGGTGAAACAGCAACCCAAGTTGACACAACCCACAAGGAAGGGCATGTTCAGGGAGGTTGGCACAAGTAGATCATCAGCTACAAGGAAATCAATTACCTGATTTGAAACTATCTTACAGATGGTCCAATTCATGATATTTCCCCCCTTTGATGTCTGCTACAATAAAGCAATGATCGTGACACTTTATTACTCTTAATACAGATCTGAAAGAACACGTGCGAATAGTTTTGATAGTTTCTTTACTTGGTTTTCAAATGAAGTCTACAGCCCCTTTTGAAGGGGCCACTGCTTCTGATACAACTCAATGCATCCATCCCACCCATCCAAACTTACCCAATGCTCCGAATAGCATTAGCCTTCAACTAGCTCCTTCCGCAACTTGAAGAATTCAGTTCATTATGAGCAATCTTCATAGTACAGCTAAGAGTGTCAATCTGTATCTATTAAAAAAGAGAGGGTCAATCTGTTTCCCCTATAAGTTAGAACACTGCTCTGTTTCTTTCTTTTTATATATGCCATAACAATAATACGAATGCAATATATAAGCCATGCCTTTCAATACCCTCAGCCTTAATTATACTCACCAATCACCGTCTCCATCCAACAACCAAACACATCAAACCTGATTTTTGTTGCCTTCTGAATTAAAGTATTCTTAAACTTGTATCATTGAAATATGCATCTACTTTTTTCCACTAGTTTTATTCTTAGGATCATGATATAAAACAAATTATAAACAAGTGGCAAAAATAACCCCATACTAATGAGCTTCACCTGTCAATACATAATTCAAACCATCAAAAGATGATGCAACGTGTGCAATCCTATTCAAATCCCTTTGAAGTGAGCGACCCAACCTAAAAGAACAACACCTCCATCTAAATTCACCTAATAGAATCATAAATAAACCGACACTGACTGTGCCGTTCAATGGTATTGGGAGCTAACAAGACGATGATAAACAAGCCTCCTAAACCCAATTAAAACATCAAAAAATCTTGCCCCCCTAACCTTTGGTTCAGAAAACTAAACCCACATTACATTGTAAGCATTAGTGAGAGAAATGTAAACAAAGTAGCAATCCATTACTTCGCTAGTACACTAGCACAGGTAAAAAAAGCATAGCTGTTGATCTTTCAAACCCACAGGCAACATACCAACAGAATTACATGAAGCATAACAAAATAGTTTATGCTAATGGCAGCAAAGCAAGCAATGAAGAAAGAAACTAAAATTCCATAAAAGTGACCACACCTGAAGCTTGAGAACGGTGGTTTTGCCAGCGGCGGTGAGAACACTACCTTCAGACCGATCGGAAAGAAAGACAGAAACCAAAATAAAGGAAAAGAAGCCCATGAAGATGAGAGAGAAAATGGAGTCAGCATCCACTTCGGACCTAACGGCAGGCCCAACGTAAACCCCGTCGCCGAATGGAGCAGACCCATAAGATAGCACCGAGTAAGAGAACTCTTGCACTGGGCTTGAGGGCACCGAATTACTCCTCGAAGAAGAAGAAGAGGAGGAGGAGGATGAAGAAGAAAAGGACCTTCCACCCATTCGACCTCCAGATGCAGCTAATGCAGAGTTGGGGTCGTACATTAACAGCAACCCTACCAACACCGCAGCTATGGCCGGCTTTCGCAACGCCTTCAGCGCATTCGATAAAGTACTGGCCAGAACCTCCAACGGGGATTTTGAGGTGGATGAGTTTTCTTGCTTCCGCGATAACACACATTTGGCGCTGTTGTGTTTATATGTAGCGGGTATTATTGGAGTGAATTTAACAGGCTTTGTGATTCGATGCAGTGGCAAAGGCAAAGGGAATCGCTTCCATTTCAAGTGGGAGGGATTGGCTTCGAGTAACAAAGTTGTTGGCAGGGTCATAATGGTATTTTTATTTTATTATTATTTTGAATTGAGTTGAATTGGAAAAGGGGGAATAATTTGGCAGATAGTAAAGAATGTGAATATGTGATCGGAAAATAGCAATAGACGAAGGGACTTGAGTCAGGTAGCTTCAGCTTATTTGTATTATATGGATATAAATAGGATTTAGAAAATTTTAATAACAGATCCAAGTCCAAATTATTAAATAAAAAAATTATAATAAATTAGTGAATCACAATAATACCAAGCCTCTACAATATATGAATGTGAAGTAAAAGATAATTATTTCAGTTGACTTTCTATTTATTCCACCAATAAAATTCTTTATGTGAATACAAAATATAAATTAATAACCAAGAAGGTAGGCACTCTTTCGGAAACAGTGCCCAGAATATCACATTTTTGGTAATTTTTTACCAATCTGTCACGCGAACAGTATTTTTTATCAGACTATCACGCGTTGAAGTTTGTTACGACTAGTAGCGAATTTGGTAGCCAATGATTTTGTGACACATGGTCACTTTTGTAGGAAAAGATGACTGGACGAAGTTCGCTGTTGTAGCGAACTTAGTGCACTATGTGGCACAATCTCATTACTCGATCAGAAATAATGTACTAATTACAATCAAAAAAGAAAACGAAAAAAATGACTATTTAATTATTGTACCGATCACAATTAATGTACCAATAAAATTAACTTTTAATTATATTAATTATAATTAATGTAACAATTACCAATCCAAATCTATGTGTTTTTCATTTTCATCACAACTTCTCTTTCCACACGCCACGTGGCTCAATCCACATTGCATCTCACATTTCCCTAAAATATAAATAAATAAATTTAAGGTTGGAGAATAGAAAAAGGGATTAAGAGATTTTATGGCCCTTCAGCCCTTAACTCAAAAGGCCCACATTAAGCGGGTTATTTTTTATTTGTTTTTGGCCCAGCTCGCTTGAAACTTTACAGAGAAACCCTAGAGTTATAAGAAGGGTTAGGGTTTCCGTCTGCATCTTCCTGTGTTGTGTATTGTGGGAGCTGCTGTGTGTATTTACCTGCATCCTCTGTTGCTCCTTCGTTGCACACCTCACAGAACAGCATGGCCGACAAGGCGGTGACTATCCGAACTAGAAAGTTCATGACAAACAGGCTTCTTTCCAGAAAGCAGTTCGTGAGTTTCCCATTTCCCAATGTCTTTTTTACTATCACAAATCTGCTAAGGATAGTTTTATAGCTTATGTATCACACACATGACATAGATTCAGGAGATTCCACTCTCGCTTCGATTATTCAAACTAACTTTTAATATTACCTTTGTTAGCCCTATGTTTATTTGCTTTCATGCATTTTTTGTCATTACGAAATGGTAGAAACCTTTGGATCTGAAAATGCCTAACGAGTTGTGTGATTCTCAGTTTCGCTGATCATCAAATAGATGATTCAGATCTTATGATTGTCTGTTTTCTTACGGAATTTGGAGTTAATTAGCCTGCCTAACTGCCAGTGCCGGAGATTCTTAACGTTGGCACCCCTAACCTTTCTATATGCTTTTTATTGTGTATTGCAGATCATTGATGTCCTTCATCCAGGGAGGGCAAATGTTTCCAAGGTACTTTCTTTTATGAATGTTTTAAATTGTTAAAAAACAACAAATACTATGAATTCTGTAGTTGTTAATATCTTAAGTTAGCAATTCAATATTAGATTTTTATGTATTTATTGATTGACAATTACATTATTAAATATCAATTTGTTGTATGGCATGAAGGCTGAGCTTAAAGAGAAGCTTGCAAGAATTTATGAAGTGAAGGACCCTAATACTGTATTTGTCTTCAAATTCCGTACGCATTTTGGAGGTGGCAAATCCACTGGTTTTGGTTTGATTTATGATTCAGTTGAGAATGCAAAGAAGTATGAGCCCAAGTACAGGCTTATCAGGGTGAGTCAACAGTTAACTCAACCTCCTCATATCGATGCTGTTTTTGCTGTGAAATTCCTTTTTAAATCTTCCCCTAATTATAGTAGTGCACTCCTTACATTATCATTGTTCCTACTTTTTCTGTCTCCTTTATTTCTGGGGCACAGAGGTTAGTGTTGCAATTGCTAGTTGTCAAACCGTATTCTTCATATTTTTCTTATATGATATGTTATCAAAGTGTTTTAGCCACATCAAAATTTTCTGAAGATATCACGAAGTTCTCTATATTTGGCAGTGGTGACTACTGTCATTCTGTTCTTCAAATAATATCTTTCTTTAATAGCTTGTCATTTTCCTGCTTAATCTTATCATCCTTTATTATCTTGTCATCCTTGTCTTTGTTATATGATCTTGAACAACTCCTTTTTAATATGATGGGTGTGATGTTTTGTGCGAGCAAAACTAAAATCTATGTCTATTCCAGAATGGTCTTGACACTAAGGTAGAAAAGTCAAGGAAGCAAATGAAGGAGAGAAAGAATAGGGCTAAGAAGATCCGTGGAGTAAAGAAGGTAATTCTGTAGCTAACGACAAATTTGTTTTGTTGATGATTGCATACCTCTAATGTAATCCTTGTTGCATTAATTATAACATTCTATATCTGTTGCTGTGCAGACGAAGGCTTCTGATGCTGCCAAGGCTGGAAAAAAGAAATGAGTTTTGGGACATCTTGTTTTGCTTTCAAGCTTATTTTGCTTTTGGTGTTTTCTAATATCTATTTTATCTTTGTTAGGTCTATAGAATGAGATATTTTGTTGTAAGTGTTGATCCATGTTTTATCTTGTTCGGTGATAACTTCATACTTTCGACTCGAGTACTGCCATTGAACAATTTTGAGAATTCGGTAGTTTACTTTGCTTTCAAATATTGAATAGATTCGAGGTAATATTTTTTGGGTTCCATCAGTTGGGTCGAAACACGGCCGCATTACTTGATTTTTATATGATTTGATCGGGGTTTGATTGCAGAATACCGGGAAAGTGTTCTGTCAATGATGTAATTATTAGGATTATGGTTATAGGACTAATAGTCTAATACGCACAAGTTAGAACAGAATAGAATATAGCAACGTTAGGTGGTAAAGAATATTGAATCCCACGGTTTGCTTAATTCGTACTTGGGGTAAATTCAAGTTGTACCTGCCATTTGGGGTTAAGTTAATTACATGACGGGCGGTATAGATATTGCACGAATTACTCAACTTCCATTCTTTAAATATAGGTAGAAAAAATATTTAATTTTAAAAAGTATATAAGAAAATTATTTAAAATCAAAAGTAAATATGCATAATTAATATAGGAAATCTTGTTCTAATGTTCCTTGAAGTAAACATTGCTGAAACAAAATTATAAGTGAGATTCAAAAGTAATTAGATAGATTAAAAAAACAGAGGTGGGACCATCCCACATCTATGATGTGTATGTTTAGTTAAATGAGAGAAGTATAATCTAATTAATATTTGTTAAACATATATTAAAAGATAAAAAAATTTTACGTACATATGAAAAGAGACCCGTACCCTCGCTAGTTAATTGGGAGTTGTTTTTTATGTACATATTAAAAGAATATTTAAAATTACAAAGAAAATGTGTATAATATTTAAAAAAAACTGAAGTTCAGAATAACATGTGCAAGAGTAGAATAAAAGATTTAGTCGTATATAAGAGAATGAAATCTAATTTAATATAGGTCGGTAAATTTGAAGTAAATAGATAGAATTGGGAGGAAAATTCCTCCAAAACGCTTGCATTTATAAATTTTTAATGTGATGTGCAAAAAGAACGAAGTGAAATGAAAATATCGTAGAGCATATAATTCTAGAAAAACCATCTTGTGTTGGTTGTGGAAGGGATTCAGATACCTTACGCATGTAATTTTTCTTTCAATTATGAGATTCATGTGTACAGGGAAAATAAAAATAAAAACGTTAGAAGGGGGTCTTAACCTTTTGGTTCTTGACTGTGTTTTAAAATACTGTTAGGAAAAAATAATTCAAGATTTTTTTTTTAAATTGTTTGTATGAATTTTTTATCGTGTTACGGATAACTTAAAATGAACTTTGTAATTATCATTGTGTAATATAAGAAATTATGTTTAGTTCATGCTAGGGAATTATATAAAACATGTATTGAGTACAAACTTAAAGGGTCAGTAAGTTTTAATTTTATGCACAAAGATTTGAAAACATTTTAATAGATGAAATTCAAAGGTTGATTTGATTTTAAGGAAGGAAATACTACAAGACTCTCATTGCTTCTATCACGAATTTGATTTTAAATTCGTTGACGAAGATGTGCATAAATATATATTTCTATTTTACAGACAAATGCTAAAAAACGACTCAATCCTTCACAATCTAACAGATTGTTCATATCACAATGACTATTTTGTTCCTCGACCACAAATTTTCTAGTTACTTTCTAGGAATTAATGCTTTCGGGATAACTTACTTTCCATATACAAATAAAAGTAAGTGTATGGGCCCACGTGAAATTCATATAAATAGAAAAGAGAAAAAATTAAAAACATACGTCTGTACATTTTTATAATTTTTGTGTATCTAGGAGATAAAATTATCTCGGCGAAAACTCTTTTTCCTACTTTTTATGTACCTTTCGTTATTTCGTATTGATTGTTAGGAGGCGTTTTGGTAGAAAAGATATTTTTTTTATCGGAAAAACATAATTAACGAAAAAATGATAGGAAAGTAAGTTTGATGGAAAAGTTTAAAAAAAGATGTTTGGTTCAAGGAAATATTACTAGAAAAATTTATTTAAATTTGTAAAGTCTATGTTTGTTTGAATGTAAAATAGTGATGGAAAAATAGATTGAATTGATCAAAATATTCCTATTATAATTTTTTTTTAAAAGAACCACTCCGTACAAGTGCTGAGTCATTTAGGTCCACAACTTGAAGCTCTTTTTTCCACTTTTCCATCTATCCTAAAATACCACATCTAAAGTGATATTTTAGAATAGTTAATTTCACCAAAAAAAAAAAAAAACTAGACTTCCGATTTACTTAGTATTTTTTTCCCCAAACTTAGTCTTTTTCAATTGCGACTCACACTTTTCCATCAAACCCAAATAAAAATCTGTACCAAACACACCCAAATTTAAGACACGCTACATGTTGTGTACGTGTGTTGCTCAATAACGTGAGTATAGGGAACGGGACATCCGTGTCATTTATCCGATTCCTTGGCTTCCTTTGTTTTTCTGGTCTTGTTTGTTTCTCTTTGTTTCTGTGTCGGTGTTTTCCGCTCATTTTCTATCTCCAGGAGTTTCAACTTTCCACTGGTTCCTCGAATACCTTTATCCTCTTGTTCATCTCATACAATCATGGAGGATGCTGGATCAGCTGCCGCTACTCTCAACGGTAGATTCTTTATAAATTATCGCCATTTTGCTTTCTGTCTTGGATGGATTAGTTGAATTTTTCTTCTGTTTACATATCCTCTTCAATTCTTGTCATCAGTGTGTTGAACTGTAATGTAATCCAATGTCCATCACTTTCACTATGAAGGCAAAATAGAACGTGTTTTGATCGTGGAAAAGAGCCAAATTGAATGAATAAAATTGATAAAAGAACTAAATTAAGAGAGATTACAACAGAAACTGCTATATATATATATATATATTGCATGAATAAGCACTGAACAAATTCAAAAGAGAAAATGCCATCTGGATTTGTGAATTCCAAACACATCCATTAAAAATGCTCTATGGATGTTTCTGCAAGTAAAGTAGAGCCTGAGCATATATCTGTTTGTGTTCTCTGGATTTGCTCATACAGCATACTGAAGAAGATCTGTATCGTTGGATCTAAACTACTGAGTATTCCTTTTTCTCTCTCATCTTTTTGCAGGGCATTTATCAATACAATCCACTTTTATTCTTGTGCAATTAAAGTTTTTGATATAATGAGACATTTTGTTGATTTTGCTTCTATGGATGGAAGGATCTTATTGTTTGGAACTTTGTTTTGCCTACCTTTTTGTTATAGTGTTGGAAGCTAAGGATGGAACAATTTCCGTGGCTTCTGCATTTGCTGGTCACCAACAAGGTATGATAAAATATCATTTCTCATCTCCAGACACCTTTTTTTAGTTTCTTCTCATAAGAAAAACAGCTCCAACTGAAAGCAAAAAAAAGACAAGAAAAAGAAAAAGAAATCATGACTCCAGAAAAGTCAGTATAAAATAGTTGTTTTCCGAGTATGTTTCTCTTTATTTCAATATGTATTATGAAGATGGTTTACCTTTCCTAGTCTGACTCCAGAAATCATGGTTTACCGTTCAATATAAAACGATAATACCAAATTGACATTTGACATCCTATGAGAGCCTGTTTGCTCAATTCAAATAAACCTTTTGAAGTGTGATTCATTTATGATTCACAGGTTTTGATGAGTCTCTTTACTAATTGTTTTCGATATATAGGACTACAATATTTATTTTATTGATTTACCTGAATTGGTAACTCTTAGTCTCACGTAGAAAAGTGAGAGTGGTTGGTTACTACTTACTACCAGTTCTAGATGTTCCTCGGTAGTTATTACCTTGTTGGTGTTATATTGTGCTGTTATACCAGCTGTACAGGATAGAGACCACAATTTCCTAACAAAAGCGGTCGAAGAAGCATATAAAGGAGTTGAATGTGGTGATGGAGGCCCATTTGGTGCGGTTGTTGTTCGAAATGATGAAGTAGTTGTAAGCTGTCATAACATGGTTTTAAGAAACACTGATCCCACTGCTCATGCTGAGGTTACTGCTATAAGAGAGGTTAAACTAATAATTATTATGCTTTCATTCAGAATTTTTGTATTGATTTGCGAGATCTGAGGTTTATCACATGCCTCCAGAAATGGAAGAATTATGCTTATTAAAATAAACAGGTTGTTTTCTGTCAGTTTCCTATCTTTCTTTGTCTCTTACTATTAGGCTTGAAACTATTCGCTTGAAACTATTCAAACAAGCATCGTTCCTATATCAATATTTCTTTAATTTTCGCTGGAATTTTGAATTTTTCATAGGATTACAACTGAATATCAATCCCAATACTTTAGGACCAGCTAAGTACTTCATTCAGATAGATTCATTTCATAGTCACTTTTAACTATATGGTCTGTATGGCTCTGGTTTTAAGAACGTGGATACAGTATTCTATTACAACACTTGATTATGAATGTCCTGCATGGCTGTATGTTACGGATGTTGCTTAATATTATAGGAGGTGTTATTGTTCAGTTGTGATTTGCTTTATTTTAGGATTGTTGTTATTTAATTGGCACTGCCTATTTATCAGATTAGTATATAAGAATAAAAAACGGTCCTGTTACAGTTGGTAGTGGATAGGAGTTGTGGAGTCATTTTCTTAGGAGTTACTTTTCCGTTTTCAGTTTGTATTATCTATTTAAGTTCCCTGAAGTTGAATAAAAAACACTAAACAATTTAGAGTTATTTGAAAAAAGCACTGTGTGCAAGAAGTCAAGCTTCCTCAATAAAGCTACCCTTTCATTTACGAAATAGCTTGGTATCAGAGCCAGGCACCAGGCATGGAGAAACAATTAGAAGATGCGGTTCAGGCACTCTTCATTTAATTAAAAGAGATGTTCACCAAACTCTTTAGTCGGCTAGATGCTCTAGTACCAACCACCAAACTCTACCATTTCCACGATTCTCATTTCATTTTTGAGGCTTCCACACCCAAACATTTTTCTCTTTCTCTCTCCACCAAACGCGTAACCCCCTTAACATTACCATTACTGTTAACATTTTGAATGCAGTGGTACCTCATCCAAGACCCCAAATTTTTGGTCCAATGAGTCATTCCCTTCTACAGTCCTTTCAGAAGAGGAAAGAAAAAGTTGTGGCCAGAAGACTTTTTCCAATCAACAGCAATGGAGAGGCGGACATGGATATTGAAGATGATTCAATTACTTGACGTTGAACTTACTCTTGAGGACAAGAGTAATTTTTAAGGGGAGGGAATATTATAGATGTTGCTTAATATTATAGGAGTTGTTATTGTTCAGTTGTGCTTTGCTTTATTTTAGGATTGTTGTTATTTAATTTCTTCTGTTAATTGGCACTGCCTATTTATCAAATCAGTAGATAAGAATAAAAAACGGTCCTATTACAGTTGGTAGTGGATAGGTGTTGCGAGAGTCATTTTCTTAGGAGTTCCTTTTCCATTTTAAGTTTGTATTATCTATTTAAGTTCCCTGAAGTTGAATAAAAAGCACTGAACAATTTATCAGAAGAAGTATTTGGAAAAGCCACTGTGTGCAAGAGGTCAAACTTCCTCAATAAAGCTATTCTTTTATGTATGTAACACTGTAACTCTCCTTTCCCTCTCCTCCCTCTTATTGTAAGAGTAGATTTCTTTTTAAGCTAAAATTATGAGTGCATGGAATTTTTGGGATTTACAACTTTTTTAGTTGATGTTTTCTGATTAACTGGTTGTGACAGGAAACTTCTTCATCCTGATTGTTTCTAGCTGAAAGATTTGGTTCAACGTTTCCAATTACTTGCTTTGTGGAAAATTTAAATGATAGCTGCACAATAGTTTAATAAGCACTACAGTGAACAGTCCTTTCAAAGAATACATTCATGTTGTAACTGGACATCATTTGCAGGCTTGTCAAAAGTTAAATCAAATTGAGCTCTCAGACTGTGAAATCTATGCATCTTGTGAGCCTTGTCCGATGTGCTTTGGTGCAATTCATCTTTCAAGAATTAAGGTTGGCTTTCCACTCCCCTCTTTTTCTCTGAACACCTTACGTATCCTTTTTTTTTTTGGGGGGGGGGGGGGGGGGGGGGGGGGGGTGTTTAAATATGTGTCTCTAATTTTTATTGAATTGATCTCATTTTTGTTCTGTTCACATCGAAACAGAGATTGGTTTATGGAGCTAAAGCAGAGGCTGCAATAGCAATTGGATTTGATGATTTTATTGCCGATGCACTGAGGGGCACTAGCTTTTATCAAAAGGCCCACTTGGAGATTAAAAAGGCAGATGGTAGTGGTGCTGTAATTGCAGAACAAGTATTTGAGAAAACCAAAGCCAAGTTTCCTCTCTACTGATTTTGCTTTAATCATATTCTGAACAATGAATACATGTTACAGTTGTTCATGAATTGAAGAAATATACAATTTGCATGCTCCTATGCTGGTGTTCATCTGTTTTTATCCCGAAGAATTGCAGATGATTATTGATATGTTAAATATATGAAGGTACTTACATGTTTGATTATGGTTTAAGAGTTGCGTCTTAGGAAAAGCAAGTTCATGTAAGAGAAGGAAGCAACTTGGCTTGATAGCAACTGGACTGAATCTATGAATGACAGTGCCATTGTGTAAAGCAATCCAAGCTCTAAATTTCCGAGTTATATAATCCAAATACATGTCTTCTGAAACTAAAAAAAAATACAGAACAGATGCAATGTAACATTGAGGAGGAAACACGCTGTTTCTGCACTTTCTATTCTAATAAGCTTACTGAGTAGAATAAAGCCTCAACCGCCGACAGCTTGAACGCAACTCCTCCAATTGGACAAAATATCCAATTTTCTGTATGAAAATAATTCTTGACATGAATAACAAAAATGACATATATGACGTTTTTTTTAAATAGATACATATTATAGAAAAATTATATTAAAGTTCATTAATTAATAAGTTTTAACTTTTAAGGTTGAGGTTCATAATTGAATATCACAATAAAGCTGAGGTCCTTTAATAATTATAAGATCGTTTTTAGGTAAATTTTGATATGCAACTATTAGCTCAAATTTTAAATTACAGTTTTTACTCAATTTATTTGCTAAAAAAATATGGATGATACAGTTTTTAGGCCGAGCTTTTGAACGAAAATATCTGTTCTAACTAATCACGAAGCATTTTTCCAATATTTTAAGTGGTGTGATATAAAATATTTGTTACAACTTTAAAAGCTTCAGGCATGATAAGTTGCTAGCAAAAAGGTGTTGCATGCAGTTTTCACCGGCTAGAATTAAATATTGATTACCGAGCCATGCATGGATATGCTTATTATTGTAAAAAAGTCCACGGTATGCTACTATATAACCCACCTAAACCAACTATATTCAAGCCAGAAGCAGTTGAAGAAATCTATACATTAAAACCAATTATATTCAGGTCGTTTCAAGTATGGCTTCACCAATCAAATTCACATTGTTCACAGCTTTTTTAATTGTTTTAGTTGCGGGTGTTGCTGCTCAAGAAAGTCCTCCAATCGACTACCTTGAGGACACGATCGCTAATCACGCAGATGGACTCAGTAATCATGCAGTCATGGGTGGACTCTTTGCCTTTCTGCTTACAATTCTCATTGCGAGAGATTTGCTTTAAGAACTCTTTCAGTTTGTTTCAACAGCTCCCCATTTTTCTTCGTGCTTGTTTTAGTCTTGAAATGTCATACTCATATATATATTTTGGACTTCTCTATGTTGTTTGGAATTGTGTTGTAATAAGCTGTGATTATCTATAGTATATATGCAGCGTTGCCAAGAGTGCGAGCTGGTGATATGCTTCTTTGTAATGTAAAAGTGAAATTTGATGGGGAGTGGTTTATATATATATATATATATATGTGTGTGTGTGTATGCAGCATTTTCATTGCTCATCCTAAACAAATTAGTTGGAATGTTATATTAATAAGATGTGATTTATATATAGTATATATGCAGCATTTTCATTTTTTATCTACCGTATTAATTAAGGAAACGGTAAATAAGCATCTACCCTTGAATCCCTGATTATGAATTTTCATATACTTAATAATTGGAATTTTGCGAACAATGTTATTATTAATAATTGTGAAAAGATGGAATTATTTAAGCATGCATATTTGCAAAGTGAAATTTTCATCTCAAATGGAGCCTCTCAGATTAAATTTTCCCCCTCCAATTCGTATTCCTTGTAGACTTATACAAAAGGAGCATGCTAAAATGCCATACAACTTTGTCACAAGCATAATGAGAATTGATCTCGTAATATCACCGTTCAAATTCATCCTCATAACATATAAAAAATAATTCACCTAAAAAAGTTAAACCATTGGCGGAAGGTACTTTATTATTTTATATTATTCCTTAACATAATTTACAGCCTTTTGAAAATTCCTTTATAACATGGGTTTGCATTTTCATGACACAAAAAAATTTCCTACATACACAATATTTTGTGGGGCTCACACTTTTTGAAACACAAAAAAATAAATAAAAAAATTAACGCACGCAAAACGAATCTCTATAATATTACACAATTATTTTTTTTACAACATAACTTTTATAAAACCTTTATAACTGCTTAAGCCAATTATGTATTGGAGGCTGGAGCAACTTCGAATTTCAGAGATAAAGTCCTAGACATATAAGACACCACTAATGACAATGAGAATTAGTTGTTGAATATTAATGTTAAGAATGACACAATCATGTAATATGCAAATTTTTGCCCCAATGACAATGGAGGAGATCTGAATCGATAACACAGATAACACCCCAAGAGGATGTATAATCCACTTTTGGCATTTCACACATTCAAAAGTAAAACAACTCAAGCATATCTTTACAATAAAAAGTAAGATTGTCACCCTATCAAAGAGAGGGGCTAATAATGTATTTGCTTCTCAACCTGTTTCACTTCAGACTCGTCGTGCTACTTCCATGCTATTTAAGGTTGGAAGCAGAGGAAGATGAAGTAGCCTTCCTATTTGTTTTAGATGTTGTCCACCGCAAACATCTTTCTATACAAGGATTTGTGATGTGAATACAAGTTAAACTTACAAGAGGAATTTAATTTATGTTAGTTATTTCATTAAATATGACTTTATAATGCAATTCCATACCTCAATTTTAAGTGTCTTTATTAACAATGTCTTATACCTAATTAAATTAATAATGATGAATTAAAGAGTAATGAGCATATCCCTTTACCAAAGAAAAAAAATTTCAAATGAAACCTATATTTACTACTTGTGATTAGGTTGTATTAACTCAAAAAAAAAAAAAAAAAAAAAGGTATAGTTAAAAGTGGGATTATTTTAAATTCTTTAGTCTTTGAGTCAATACTTACATGTGAGTCATGTTTGAATAGTAAAATATACCAAGCATTTTCCGTAGTAAATGATATTGATAAGATATAGTAGGCCCATTAGAAGCCCAAAGACATACAACGAAGCCCAATCTCACGAGGGCCCATAACTAAGAACGATGACCACCATCGCGCATGACGCGACGCGATGCCCCCATCATGCATGAAACTGCCCTTTGGCATAAACTTCAAAGGTAAGGAAGCTATCTTAAGAACTAATATGAACCCACCGCGCCTTTGTACTAATAAACAGAGGACATCACCAGCTCGCCGCTACTCTATCAAGGTAGCCTGGCATTAACGGATAAAGCTATTAAGGCTCTAGCCAAACCTGCAGTCAAGAAACGGCCAATCAGAGGCCATGCCGCCTTCTGAAGGCGGCATCAGAACCATTATATAAACAGAGGGTACATGCCCAGGTATGATGATCTAATTCAGTAAGAATACATATACACCTGCAATTGATACTAACTTAAACATTGGAGTGTCATTGCAGGTACTCCCCCCATCCAGTCTCAACTATCGTGCCAACAAGGGACCGAAGTTCATATATCATCATTAACAACTTCTAGCCCAAGAAGCAGAGCATCCTCATCATTTCAACCGTGTGTGATTAGGTCTGATATACATTGGTCAGCCCATATTGTATTTGGTCTGATCATTGGCGCCGTTTGTGGGAATATATCATTTAGAACCCATTTCCTTCCAACTTAAAAATATGGTTGATACCAGAAGCAAATCCCAGAACGGCTCCAAAGAAAAGCGAAAGGAGACTCCTGCCTCCCGTGAGAAATTAGCCTCGTCGGTGGTACCACTTTCTGTGCACCATGACAACCCACTTACGACTCAACATTTGTTGAACCTTATCACATAGCAGAACAAAAAGATTGCCCAACAGACTCGAGATTTAGCTCAATTAAAAAAATCACAAAAGGCTAAAGAGAAAAATCAGAGAAAAGAAAAAGAAAAAGAAAAAGAGCCTGAGAAAGATCTTGAAAATTCTGGCGAAAGTTAGCCGGTACAGTAACATTCAAAAGGAGATCCTGGACCTTCGGGTCACAAAAACAAAAAAGGTGAAGAGGTAAAAGATACTAACGAGAACGAGAACTCTCACGGGAATTCTAGAACAGTTTCGCGAATCTTTCACCCATTCAACCCATGTATCATGAACGTCCTAATTCCTAGAGACGTAAAAATTACAACTGAGAAGTACAATGGGAAGGCAGACCCGCAAGAACATCTGGAACAATTCCAGACCAACATAATGGGACAAGATGTAGCCGACCCAATAGCATGTCGGTTATTCCCAACCACCTTGAAGGAGGTGGCACTTAGGTGGTACTTTGCGTTACCACCCAATTCAGTCCAAAGTTAGAAAGATTTAACTAGCCAATTCCTTATATGGTTTGTAACAAGCAAAGCGCAATATAAATCCACACATACTTTAAAAACTGTACAACAAGGATCACACGAAACACCGCACGATTACCTCAACAAATTCTTTGATGAAGCGCTCTTAGCAAGGGACCTGAATTCAAAAGCCTCCCTATATCTCATCATTGAAGGATTACATCAAACCTACTCCAAGTCTTCATTAATTTGTCTCCTACACGGTTCTCTTACTGATAGCATGAAATATGTCCCCATCACACGTGGGTCTTTCCACTATTGTTATGACTAGACATACAAAAGACACAAATAGAGACCCAATTTGCATTTGACAAGTGTGATTGTAATATTGTTGGAGATAGATTTGCAGTATTTAGGCCTTTCGCATATTTTTGTAGTAACGCTAACCTTGGAGAATTCTACAATTCTTAAGGTTGATAGTTTATAATTTTACTTCGTATCTCGTTGCAAACATTCTCTAAGCTATTATCTTCGAGTAGAATCAAATAAATATATTTGAAAAGTACGATTAAGATATTATAAAAAAATTGAAATAGTATAACCTGGCTTTGGAACGAAAATATCTGTTCTAACTTGTCACGAAGCATTCTTCCAATATTTTAAGTGGTGTGATATAAAATATTTGTAATTTAATTAGATCTAGTTAAGTACTTTGTTTTTATAAAGTTGAATCTTAAGGGTAGGGTTATTCTATCCATAAAAAAAAAAAGACAGACAGAAGTTGAAACTAAACAGTTCTTTTTAGAGGTGTTATACAGATCTCATTATCGAGAAAAGTGTTTGTCATTTTAAATGAGAGAAAGTTGTGTCATTTTAAGAGAGATACAGACCCAGAAAATTTAAATTTTAAATTAAAAAAAATTACTCACTTTCTCTCTCCCATGATTTCTGTTTTTCTGTGTCTATCTCTCTTCTAAAATGACATAATTTATACCATTTAAAATGACAAACACCAAACCCCTTATTATGATCTAATAACATTGGTGCGAAAAAATTCTTTGAATTAAACTTGTTTTAAAGTGTGTAAGTAAAGATATATTAATTATAAGTTTAATTTAAAATGTATTTTATTTTAATCCATTAATATTTTAAAACAAATACAATTTTATTTTATTATTTTAAAAACAGACTTATATTTTAAAAAACCTTATCCACTTTTGTGTATACATGTAACAAATTTTGAATTGTATGTAATCAATCTAACACAAACAATTCAAAACTTATCATTATACAAGGAATATAAATAACCCAACTTCTCCTTTGGAATTTTTGTAGCAACCAAAAACAACTATGTCTTTCCGATAAGACATAATTGTAATATTAAAAATTTTTTCTCTTTCCGCCATGTCAGCCGATAGCCTTTTAAGGAGAGAAAAAAACTTTTAAAATTATATTTATGTCTTAACGGTAAGACATAGTTACTTTTTTTTGTCTACCTTAACTACTCAACTTCAATATTATTGGATCAGAATCTCAAGAAGAGAAAAAAGAACTATGATCCAAAAATATTGAAAATGAATAGGTATGATAAACAAGAAAAAAAGATAAATAGAATATATTAACCCTATAAATAATATAAGATACTCTACTTGTAAATGTAGTAAACTTAAAGGGCTTTATTATTTTCCATCAATAGAAGAGAAGATATCTCCTATCACTCTCACAATCATGTGGTGGGACCTGCATAATTATTAAAAAAAAAAGCTCAAGAATCGATGTCTCTGCTAGAAAATAAATCCATCTCCTGTAGCTCAAGAGTAGTTTTTCCCAAACTTAAAATACGAGAAAAATTATTTTACCTTCACAAAGTGTCACGTTAAATTATAATTCATCATTTAGTTATATATCTGTTATTTAGTTTTATGCTTTAAAAAAAATTAAATAATAGATATTTAAGTAATACATTTTATTATTAAGTAAAATTTAACTATTAAATTTAAATAAAATAAATACAATTTTAAATGTCAATTTCAGAACATGCAATAACTTCTTGTATAAGGAAAAGAGGAGAAAAAAACAAAAATAGAAACTGTAGAAAAAGCAAAGGAAACAATATCGGGTAACACAAATGGAACACGCCAATGGATTTAATTAGCAATTGCCAATTGGAACGAAACGTGAAATGAATGAAATCCCTGAGTTTCCAGGTTTCAAGTTTCAACTAAAAGCTGGATATAGATCAAAAGCTCCCCACTATACTCTCCTTCTTATGTGATGATGAGCAATCAAGTTGAACTGAAAGTAGAACTACAACCCTCTCTTACCTGCTTTCTCTTACACGCAAACACTTACATGAAAAAATGTTATATGTTATAAAAAAAAAAAAAAAATGTTATATATTCGGAGATTAATATTTTAAGTAGTTTTGTAATTCGTTAAATTTAAATAATATTTTATAATTTAATGGCTTATATAATTATACAATTCCAAATATTTTTATTAAAATAATATAATACTTTTATAAGAGTAGAGAGGATAAGAGGAATTTACCTTTTTCTTTAGCCCCGCGCACAAATCTCACAACAAGTAACAAAACAACAGCGTATCTCCTTTGTGCGACAATATTAAGGAGAAAAAGAAAGAAAGAAAATAACGTGGGTGCAACTTGGTTGGTTGGTTGGTTTGGTCCACTACCTAAACCAAAACCAAAACCAAAACCACCCTTCCAATTCTCATTACCATCAAAGTTCAGTCCAACAATAACCGAAACCCGTGAGCCCACTCTCTCTCTCTCTCTCTAATGGCATCTGAGCAACACGACACCGTTTTCCCCGAAGAAGACATGGACGACGACGACGACGAATCTCAGGAGGACGAGGAAGAAGAAGAAGACATGGACGACGACGACGTTTTAGGTGATGATGAAGAAAACGAACCTTTTCCTTCCGCCTCCTCCGCTCTCGCCGTCACCGTCGCCGTTCCCGGTTCCGCTATCTCAAACGGAGACAAACCTCCAATTTCGACGCCAACCTCCACAGCAATTGTCGTCGCCGACTCACCCGATCCGAAACGGCAGCGCGTGGATCAAATTGAAGAGAAAAAGCCTTTGGACGATTCCCGGAGGCTGTTTCAACGACTGTGGACCGATGAGGACGAGATCGAGCTGTTGCAGGGTTTCCTCGACTACACTTCACAGCGAGGATCCTCTCACCACAACGACACCGCTTTGTTCTACGATCAAATCAAGTGTAAGCTCCAACTCGATTTCAACAAGAACCAGCTCGTCGAGAAGATCCGGAGGTTGAAGAAGAAATACCGAAACGTTCTCAACAAGATTGGCTCCGGTAAAGAATTTTCATTCAAGAGTGCTCACGATCAAGCCACCTTCGAAATCTCACGCAAGATCTGGAGCAACATGGGCCAAATCGGCGGCGGTGGTGCCGTCGAAGATAATGCCCTGGACGACGACGAAATCAACCTCAACCCCATCTCTTACCCTAACCCTAATTTTAGTCCCTCGGTGCCCAAAATTGAATTGATGTTTGGGAATTCGGCAGAGAAGAAAACGCGGAAGCGGTCACGGCCTCGATCGGGGAATGATGGATCAGCGTCAAACAAAGATCATACGAATTATAACAGCAATGCTACCCCTACTGTTACTACTACCGCTACTGCTGCTGCTGCTGCTGCTGCTACTACTACGGCTAACACTTATAATAATTATAACAGTGGGCATAGTATACCTGGTTTGATTGAAGAGACTGTGAGGAGTTGTTTGTCGCCGTTGTTGAAGGAGTTGGTGGCTGGTGCCATGGGGGGTCCATTTGGGGGAAGAGGGTTGTCGTTGAATCCGGTGCCGTTGATGAATTTGGGTTTTGGGGGCGTGGAAATGGTGGATGAGAAATGGAGGAAGCAACAGATTTTGGAATTGGAAGTGTACTCGAAGCGGTTGGAGCTTGTGCAGGATCAGATCAAGGCTGCTCTGGAGGAATTGCGATCAGCTGGAGGAGTATGACCACAGCTTTTAACTTTGTTCTTGTTTTTGTTTTTGTAGTAATCGATTGGGATTCCTCCTCTACCTCTTCATGTCTAGTTCATACAGATTTGCTTGCTCATCGATGGTTGATACTGATAGTTTAGCAGCTAGCTAGTAATAGTAATTTTGTTTTTAATTTTAGTTTATGTTGATTTCGTAAAGCACTTGTCCAATAAAATGTTTTACATGTTAGCCATTTCATTGTTGTTCCTTTAAATTTTAATGTTCTCATACTTGTACAGAATCTACATTCTACAGACAGATTGGAATGAATTGGTACAACATGAGGGCTTTGTGCCATGATATGTTGTCGTAAAAGATGCAAAATTGGGTTCTCAATTGCTTAGCTGGTCCACCTTTCGTATTGTTATTATGTGGGGATAGCATTATGATTCAGTCGATTGTAAGATAGCATTTTCAAAACTAGAAGAGATTCTGCGATGTTATTTGTTAGTTGGTTTTTATTGAATAACGGAAAAAAAAAAATGTATGCAGTAAGCCAGGATAGTATAGAAGCTCTTTTAGAATTTTGGATGCTTAACCTGTCCCTGATCAGCAATCCATGATAGGTTTTGGTTTTGGCCCTCATTCTAGGGGTGGCAATTCGTGTCAGCACGACCCAACCTGACCCGAATTTTACACGACACGAAAAACTTCATCCCGAACACGATCCGATTAATTATTTGTGTCAAAATTCTCAACCCAAACATGATCCATTTATTTTATGGGTTGTCACGACACAAATAACCTTATAATATAACTATGACCCATTATTACACATGTTAACACGACCTGACCCGACCTGACACGAGTTTTAGAATGGTCACATTCAAAATCTGTATTTAGGCATTGATTTTACATCCAATAAAAGCACATAATCCAATAAAAGCATATACATCCAATAAAAGCCATTGCTGAGTGAAAATGGTTGTTTGAAACCCTAAGTATATGTTATTTCTTTTATACCACTCACTAAAATGACTATAATAACCTTATACAATAACCATAATGGAAAAATCATAATTTTTGCATCAATTTGAGTTTCTCTGATTGACTTGAAAATTGGTGAGCTAAAGAAAGACCACCAGACGATCAATAGTCGGGCACTAAGTCAAGACCAGGTGCGCTACACCAGGCACTGGGTACATCTCATCGAGCACCAAGTCAACCACCTCTTCAGGCACCAGGTGCACCTCGTCAAGCACAAGGTGCACCAAACCAGGCACGGGGTGCACCTTGTTCGGCACCATGTGCATCACGTCCTGCACCAGGTGAACTTAGCCAAGCATCGGGTGCACCTCGTGAGGCATCGCGTGCATCACGTCTCATGCTAGGTGCACCTCGCCACCAGGTTAAGCATCGTCATGCACCAACTCAAGCTTCAGATGTACCTCGTCAGGCACCAATTCAACCAGCAGGTGAACCACCCCAAGCACCGGGTGCACCTCGTTAGACACCACGTCCTGCACCACCCAGTCAAGCGCACCTGGTGCATGACTCGGTGCTTGACAAGGTGCACCCGATGCCTGACGAGGTGTACCTTATGCTTAACTTGGTGCCTGAAGAGGTGTACCCAGTGCCTAGCGTGGTGCATGATAATTGATATTTTATTTTTCTTTTATATTGACAGTAGGCAGAGTATATTTATTTTGTTTCCTAATCGTTCCTAACATTTCATCTTCTTTCTTCTTTGTTTTTTTATTTGTTTCTTTGTAATTTGGCAATTTTTGTGATTGGAAGAAATTTGTCTTGCCCATATCACTCTCAGAAGTTCCATTCTTAGAGGAATCCGACCTTTTGAGAAAAACTCACTCCTTAATTAAAAAGGAATGATTTTGCCCTTATTTTTGTCAAATTCAATTGTTTGCGAACCTTTTTGTTGTTTTACAGTTGCAGAATGGCAAAATCGTAATTTTTGCATCAATTTGAGTTGCTCCGATTAACTTGAAAATTAGTGAGTTGAAGGAAGAGGACCTGACAATCAATAGTCAGGCACCAAGTCAAGCACCAGGTGCACTACGCTAGGCACCGGGCGCACCTGGTCGGACACCAAGTCAACCATTAGGTTCACCTCGTCAGGGAATTGATACACCACGTCAGGCACCAAGTGCACTAAACCACGCACTGGGTGCATCTTATTTTGGGCGTGAGTGGTCACACCTGGATTAGGTATGATCTCAGAGAGGATCATGCCTGAGTAGGGCATGAGTAGCCACATTCAATCCGGACGTGACATCGTACAATATCCGTAAATAGTATAAAAATAACTATATACTCATAATTAATTATTTAAATTACAATAAATTAATTTTTTTTAATCTACCTTTTAGCCATCTTAGGGCCAAGCCCTCATTTGGCAGGCCTTCTTAAATGTGACATCATAGGCTACAACGCATTTGAAGTGACACAAACCCAACAGAAGAAGCCCAGTTCGAGTAATTTTGATGTAATAACTTATTATAATCAACACAAATTCATCACCCAAAATAAAAAAATAAAAAATGCGTACCTTATCCAAGTAAGTATGTTCCCATCACAAAGGCATATACTATGGCTTCTCCTCCACACAAGAACCCAGAGTCAGTCACAGCTGGCTGAACCCATCATAACATAACACACATTAGTAACAATGGCTTGTGCAACCACAAGGCCAGCTTTCTCCTTCCACCTCTCAACCCCTTTTTGCAAACTCAATCCTTTCAAACCCAAACTTCATTACACCAGTACTCCTTCCTCCCTCTTCCCTAAAACCCTCTCCAACAAAAGCTCTAATAATCGTCGCAAATTCACCGTAAACTCCGTTGACATCTCAAAAGAAGACACACCCACACCCACACCCACTTCAGAGTCAGAGCAATCAGACTTAGCATCACAATCACAAGAATCTGAAAACTTGGATAAGAGTCGCCTCGAAGAGAAATTCGCGGTGCTGAATACTGGGATCTACGAATGCCGTTCGTGTGGGTATAAATACGACGAGGCCGTTGGTGACCCTTCGTATCCGATTCCGCCGGGATTTCAGTTTGAGAAGCTACCGGATGATTGGCGGTGCCCGACGTGTGGGGCGGCGCAGAGTTTCTTTCAGAGTAAAAGCGTTGAGATAGCTGGGTTTGCGCAGAACCAGCAATATGGGTTTGGTGGCAATTCTCTCACTTCTGGTCAGAAGGCTGTGCTTATATATGGCTCTTTGGTCTTTTTCTTTGCGCTTTTTCTCGGTGGCTACTTCCTACAATAGTTTTTTTATGTTCATCTCATCTCATCTCATCAGGTAACTTATATTTCTTCTTTATTTTTATTTTTTCTCATTATTTAAGCGTGAAGAGGGCTTGCTTTTCTGTTCGATGCGTATTGGTGCTATATTCAATATCTGAAAGTTGTAGTTTTTATTTGAAACGACAACATCGTCCAATGCTTTTGTTGGTAACATGTATATGTATCTAGTCACTGGTCTGAGCCCGAGTGTCCAATCAAAGATACATGATTAAAGAATGTGATCTTGATCTCTCATATCTACAACTACAATACAAGTGAGTCTTCCCCTTCCTTTATACATAATATATATATGAAAACTAGGGTAGTCGAAGTTTCTCTTGTTTTGGTAAATTATAGATTACCCCTAAAAATTTGTCCTGAGTGACAGATAACTCATACAATGTTAAACTATACAAGTTATTTTTTCTTTATAATAAAAGCGTTTGTATCAGTTTTTCTGTCAATCAATACTAAGTTCTTATTCGGACGATCTTAAAAAGCACACCCCTCACGTTAATCTAGTATTTCTCAAAGATTTAGTTCTTAGATGCTGGTGCAAGCTTAATTTTTAATTTTACATATACAAAGGAATGGTTGTAATTTAGGAGACACAAACATCTCACTTGTTTATTACCTCTTTTTGCTGAGAGTATTGGTTGATTTGCGCAGTTTTTTTTTTTGGTAAACGATTTGCGCTGTTTAATACTTTAATTACCCATCAGACTTGCAGTAAGTTAGCCGTTAAAAGTTTTTTTTGAGTTCACATATAGTTTATTTTTTCTATAAGGAATGTGTATTTATGGGTATTTGGAGGGTTATGATTCATTATGACTTTTTAAAATAAAATGAAAAGTAAGATGAAAGAGATCCTTTTTCCAAGGGTAGGCAATATTATACACAACATTTTATTTATATAAAAAATCATATCGATTTTTAAAATATTTAATTTATCGTTAAATCTGCACTAGATTACATCAGTTTTTTTTATGTGAATCGTGTTCAGTTCAATAATTCTAGACAATTATTATCTTTTATTTGTTTTCAATAAATCGTATTCACGTAACATTTATCTTATTATGCAAAGCCACTGGAAAGGTCTAGAATATTCCTTTTTGTGCTTCTAACTAAGTCAACATCAACAGAATAGAGAGGTTTAAGAGGAGAATATAGTAGAATAAAAAGATCTCGTGAATTTTAAAGCCGACAGATTTTTTTCTTCGAATGAAGAAAGAATAAAGTCAAAACTAAAACGATTTTGAAGGATTGCACACATTAAATTAAAATAAGAGCAACATTAACATTCAGAGTTTCATGTGGACAATAAAAAAGAGAGTAAAACAAAAAACAAAAAGAAACGACGATTTTCTTCTTCTTTTTATTCTACACCAAGTCAGGTACCGCACAGGATAAAAAGTGCTCCTGTGAGCCCAACGGGATTTTATAACAAGCCACCCTACCCTACTCATACCGTCGACAGCAAAATCAGCACTACCAAGTTTTTTACAATACTCATAGCTGATATCCTCCATCGGCCTCGACCAGCTGCATGAATAAATTTTATAACTTGAAAAGCAAGAAATTTGTGACACCTTAAAACTCTCGCAACTTTCCAATTGGTTTGGCCTGGACAACTATCAACGAAGAGCCCTTGTCTACTGGAGGCTGATCGTAGCAACTCCTTCACTGCAAATTAGTGTTATTGAAAGCTTTGATCAGCATTTGACTGCCTATTGATTTACGGCATCAAATAAATGCCCCCTGAAATTCCATTGTTGAATTGAACTTGAATGAGCTCCGATTTGAGGAACAAGAAGCAATTGCACTTCGGTAATGAAATCCACAATAATCACTATTGAGTCCCATACTCTGGCATATCTTGGGGTTGACGAGTTTTAACTTGGTACACCTTCATTTGCTTATCATAAGCTCCCCCCAATGCAGCTTCTTGATGCCCAGTATATACTCCGTTCGTATCCGGTGCTCTAGTAATCCACTTCGGTGGTGGTATAGGAGGACCCATGTTCTGCACAAATTGGTGTTGCAGATTGATTGTTGGCCCTGAACTTGGCGGCCTCATTAAAATCATTGCAGGTTTTGGTGAAGGCACTGCAGATGACCTAGGTCTCACACCTTCCTCCATTGACAAAGCATTAAACCCAGTTTTCATGTTGTGGAACTGTTCATGATGTTGCGACCTATCTTGTATCCTAAAATTCTGTCTGTCATTTTGTCCACCGTTAGATGAGATTGGATATCTAGGCCTAGAAATTATGCCCTGGTGATTATAATAGTGTCCATAATAACCGCTTGGGTCCTCCCCATAATATTTTCCCGATCCAGAGGGTCCAGGTGATCTGAACTTGTTCATTGTATGATGGCCTGGAAGTTCCGGCAATCCTTGGGATGTATTATTCAATCTAACATTAAGGGAGTTCTTGACAAGACGATGTGCTGCTTCTCCCAGTTGAGGGCCAGCTATTGCTCCAGGTACTTGTGGCCTGTCAGATGCATCACATACAGAAATGTAAGAGCTTTTTGGAAGTATCCTGTCTTATCACCCACACAATAAAGACCCTATTTCATGCATCAAAACTTCACATGTTAACATGAACGGCATCAAGAACTTTTGTACCCGCTTACCAAGGAATTTTCTAGATTTTCCACAAAAATATTACTTGAAGTAAATCCTGATGATTTTTCTTCTAACATTTTCGTCCACGTACGGCAATGAGTAATACAGTACCATTACCACATTGAACGTTAAATTTTATCAGTAGTTCTGGGACAGTTGTAATATTGTATCCCAGACAGCAAGAATATGAAAATTTTACAGCACCAATCTATAAACGTCAGGAATAAATTGTCACCTTTCTCTCCCTTGCTGTCGCCGACCACCATTGTCATCGTGCCATAGCACAGGAACCGGTTTGATATCAATAGCTTTTATTATCTGCAAACATAACCAATGTCAAAGTAAATATGATCTATACGATTGATCCAAAAGGAAACAGCAGAGAATATAATATTTCTTCGGAAAAAATAAACAGAAAAACATAATAATGGATAAAATGTATCTACACATGCCAACTATTTGAACCATATTATTGACAAAAGAATCTGGTTCTAAATATAAATGAATGAGTCATGAAGCTCCATCCATGGGATAGACTAATACGAACCTTGGGAGAACCTCATCCCAAAAACTAGCTCAAGATGTAGGAGAGCCCAAAGTCCATATAAACCCCCACATTAGTCACCCATATAACCAATGTAGGATTTCAAGTCTCATACCTTGCAATAGGATCATAACATTCCACTATGTTCTGCAACCCCGGCACCCACGCGGGCTGGCTTTGCGCTAATCTTTTACTAGCCCTAGGCGAACACTGCAATGCCAGCGTCACCACCAGCGCCGCTCGATTGAAACCGGAAGACATAGTGGAAAGCTCTGATACCAATTGATACGAACCTTGGAAGAACCTCAACCCAGAAGCTAGCTCTCCTAAAGTCCATATAAACCCCACATTCATCACCCATATAACCAATGTGGGACTCCAAGTCCCATTCCTTGCAATAGGATCGTAACATATACCCATTAACATTTTATGTCAGATACTAAGAGAAGTTAGTATACAAACCTTTTTGGGCATTACTACACCATCCGGAGGTTTGGGGATATGTCTATGTCTATGAGGACTAAGATAAGTAATATTTCTGAAATTTAAAAACACTCGACATCAGTTCACCCAAAGATTTTAAAATATTAGGCAGGTAAAAAGGACGAAACTTACAAAACTTGATTATACTCAATGTCTTGCAATCCCTTGATGGGAGAGGATACAACAGTTCTGAGCGCATTTCTTTCATATAACCAAAGATATCCATTCATACCACCACTGCTAATAAAGGAAACAAAACACACACGTCCGTTAAAAAGATAACCATAATTTATGACCGATGAATATTACCAAACACATCAACTAACCTAGCATTTGGGTCAATTGGCCAAAGAGGTCTTTCATGCATAGGAGAATGACTATAGTATTGGTAATACGATAAGATATATGGAGCCAAATTATGCGCACAGTTGACGTAAAGCAAATCAAGCATCTTACTGTTTCGAAGCTGTTCCTCCTCCTGCAATAACAAGTGTGAATGAAATTAAGCACTCACGCAACTAAGAATAAGCTGTTCTCATAAATTCTTGTTCCGCAGAACATGGCCGACTTTGAACAAAAATAAGATTCAATTTACCTGTTGAAAACTTCTGTAGGACTAAAAAAATAAAAATCTAAAGTAAAAAGTATTCTAGCTCAAACCAAAAAATAAAAAATCTAGCAATTGAATAGCAAGGAGTGGTGGATAATTATGCAAAAACAAAACAACTATAACAGAGGATTAGCACTTAACATATCTATTTAGAAGTTGCTACAGCCAATCAATCAACAATTCCTATTTCTTAAGTGACAGCTTTATTTCCCTCTGCTAGGAACATCTCAATGCAATAGTGTCCATATTTCAAGAATATTTTTAAAATAATCTATAGATAGAAAAAACTTTGCTTATCAAGTTCTGCATAATCCAAAATATCAACTCCTTTGTTAGTGGATTCAAGAAGACCCTCAGACACAACACGAAGTGCTGGAAAACCATAACCACCAGGTTTGATTTGACAGTTTATTCTTTGATGCAATTCGAAGGCCAACACAATTTCGGACCACAAATCTGACATATTTAGTCATAAACATAGAAGAATAGAACTAATATAGCAAGTAGCAACAACCAGCCCCCTCCCAAAAATATAAAAATAAAAAACTTTTCCAGACCGTTAATGTTCCTTCAAGCTTCCTCGTGGCAGTAAGCAATTTCTTCTCATCAATGAACGGCAACTTGGCAACGCCCTGAAAAACACTCCAAAAGTAACCTTAAATCCCACTTCATTCTAAAGCTTTCACAAAATGTCTATTAAAAAAAAAACACGAAACAAAATTATATTACCTGCCATGCAAATCGTTTGCCATTCATATCAATCTCAAAATCTGTCAAAAAGCAATCCAGGTAATGCTAGAAGGTATACAAGATATAGCAGGAAACATCAATAACAGACAAATGATCTCACCAGCAGGGTAGAATTGAAAAATAGGTGATGAAGGATCAATCATCAAATCCCTATATTTTTCAGGCAGTGCACTTGAACTGTAACAAGAAATTACCAAGCATCAGCACAGGAAGCATGATATAATATATATGAGGACAGGAGAGAAGTAGAAACCTTGAAGCAGGCAGGGTCCCCATGAGCTGATCAAATGGTTTAAATGGTTCTCCCAAAAAAAAGGTTATTTCCAGATCAGCTAGATCTTTAAGATCAGAAGCAAAAGGAGCGTAATGGTATGGGTAGTACCTGAAGAAACCATCAATAGTGAAAAAACTGAAGAATGGCCATGGGTGATAATTCAACGAAAATGATGGGGACTCTGCGAGATTCACGTTAATCATCTTAAAGCAACTCAGATATCAAATCCTGTATCCCAGCCATCAAGGAAACCAGTGCTTATTATGTTTTATTACATTCCTTATAAAATCATGTTTACAAGTTCCCACTAGCAACCGTCTTTGGGATAATAACAGAATCCATGAAACTTAAAACGTTCTGAGCAGTAGCCCAAGGTTTGAAGAGAATATAAATATGCAGGGAAAACATGCTTAAAGAAGAACAGACTTGGACAAAGAAATTCGTCAAGCCACACTCAAGTAATTCAGTACAATTGTTAAAAACAATAATCAACCCATTATTTTTTAATTGTCTTGCCATCCATCATGTGAAGCATCATAAACTTTTCAGATCATCTTAGATTCTTAGAATACAGTGTAGAGACAGAACACAAGAAAGTGTAACTCACAAACGAGGAATAATTGATCCACAAAACAATGACCTAACACACCTTCATTATACTAAAACTAAGCGTATGAAAAGACACTTGTATCCTTTACTTTGGGTGCACCATAACTAAATGTTACTTAACCAACAAAACTTTGCTAATCACATATTAACTTCAACACACCCATTGCCCTAGGATTTATTCAAGCCACCAAATAATCATAAAGTAAACTAAACATCCAGAATTCCAGAGTCCAGACAAGTCAGCTTTCTAGTACTATAAACGGCGTAAGTAGTTGCAATTGATCTTTTGAGGGACCAAGAGTGGGGTAACTTCATGATTTCTCAGTATGAGTACAGAAGTGCGTTTTTCACCAAAACTGGTAGCTGACAGTATATCATGCATGTAAATGTACCAGCTTATCAAGTCAATAACAAAAAAAAATAGCAGGAATTGGTGCGCAAATATAAACTATAACTATTAAATAACAAAAGCATTGCTAACCATTGCCATGAGCAGACACCCTGATAGTAATACCGGCAAACCCAACAAAGGCCTTCAACATATTTCAGGACCTACAACGAAAACTAAGACAATAAGCTATCTTCTAATATAATACATACTTTTTTGAAATCCAGAAATAAATGGGGTTGAGTACAATAGTCATCTACAAGCAAGTGAAAAAAAATATAGAATCGAACAAACCATCCATCAATATATGAGGAAAACAATATATAAATTTTCAACCAGTAATAAGCTCTTATGAGCATAAAATACGAGGAACTGCACAAGCACACTCCCTCTCCTCCTTGTTAAACACAGGCAGAGAGTAAGATCAAGAGTTCAAGACACACTAACAGCATGTGTCTAACATATCAGTTAAAAATAAAAGAAGTTTATGTACCAAGAGAGAGAGAAGTTTATATGCTTGTCTAAGGTAAGGTGTGTTTCAGAAAAAGATACAGTTCTCAACCTTTTTTTTATAATACGTACAAACACAATACTCAACATTTATTATTGAAAAACTTGAGCAATGAATTTGTACTTTTTGGAATTATTTCAATTTGTAGTCACTTGAAAAGAAGGATTTGTATATTATTGAATTGTATCAATAACTGTACAAGAATTCTCTATTTAAAGAGACTAAAAAGACCTAATGGGCTAAGCCCAAATAAGCTTCTAGAGTATTCTGACTATTACAAAATAGTGATACAAAATAATGATCAGATAAATAATTCTAATATTTACAATACTCCCCCTCAAGCTGAGGAATAGATATTTATCATTCCCAGCTTGTTAGTAAGTTCTTGAAATCTATCATTAAGAAGACCCTTAATTAAGACTTAAACATCAGCCATTTGATGACCAGAAGGAATATATGGAGTAGTGATCAGTCCCCTGTCTAGTTTCTCTTTAATGAAGTGGCGATCAATCTCAATATATTTGGTTCGATCGTGTTGAACTGGATTGTGGGCTATACAGATAGCTGACTTATTATCACAAAGTAACTTCATAGATCCTTTATATCTCACCTTAAGATCATCAAGAATGATTTTCAGCCACAATAACTCCCAGATACTTAGAGCTATGGCCCAAAATTCTGCTTCTGTACTTGATCTAGCAACTATATTTTGCTTTTCACTTCTCTATGTTATTAGATTTCCACAGAGAAACATACAATAGCCAGAAGTAGACCGTCGGTCAATCACAAATCTAGCATAATCGGCGTCTGTATAAACTTCTAAGCATAGGTTTCCTCCTCTGTGGAACAATAGTCCTCTGCTTGGTGTGCTTTTCAAATATTGAAGAATCCTGTCCATAGCTCGCAGGTGTTTCTCCCTCGGATCATGCATGAATTGACTAACAATACTAACGGCATAAGCTTAGATCAAGTCTAGTGTGAGCTAGACATTTCAATTTTCCCACTATTCGTTGATATTGTCTTTTGTCAACTAGAGGGCTCTCATTTTCACTTCCTAGTCTGTGATTCCGCTTAATCGGAGTACTAGAAGGTTTACACCCAAGTTTTCCTGCTTCTTTAAGAAGGTCAAGAACATACTTCCATTGACAAATAAATATCCCTTGCTTTGAATGAGCAACTTCTATCCGAAGAAAATATCTCAGTTTTCCAAGATCTTTAACTTCAAATTCAGCAGTTAGTCTTATTTGCAGAGCACATTTCTCACCTATATCAACCCTGTTATAATAATGTCGTCAACATAAACTAGAAGGATAGTGGTCTTACCTTCCTGAGAATGTTTAAAGAAAAATGTATGATCTCCTTGACTTTGCTTTTATCTCAATGAAAGCATAACTATGGTATATCTTCCAAACCAAGCACAGGGGGATTGCTTCAAGCCATACAACTCTTTCTTTAACCTGCAAACTTTATTATCTCCATTTGTAGAGTTAAATCCTTGTGGGATCTCCATGTAAACCTCCTCTTATAATTCGCCATTAAGGAAGGCATTTTTCACATCAAATTATTTCAAATTCCAATTAAAATGAGCAGCGAGGGACAATAGAACTCTTACAATATTCATTTTGGCCACTGGAGCAAATGTTTCTTCATAATCAATGCCATAGGTCTGTGTGTACCCCTTGGCTACCAGTCGAGCTTTATACCTCTCAAGAGTCCCATCAGAATTATATTTCGGAGTATACACCCAACTGCACCCTACTGCCCTTTTTCTATTTGGCCTGTCAATAACTTCCCATGTATTATTTTTCTCCAATGCATTTATCTCGTCAAGCATGGCTTGAACCTAATTATCATCCTTTAATGCTTCATGTAATGATTTCAGGATTGAAATGGAGTCAAGTGCTGTAATAAAACTTCTGTGCTGCATAGAGAGATTCTTAGAGAAGACAAAATGAGAAATAAGGTGTTGAGTACAAGACTTTTTCTCTTTCCTAACAACAATGGATAAGTCATCAGAATTAATATCAGGCTCAAGAATAAAAGAAGTAGTGTATTCAGTACTTACCAGTGGTATACGCGATTGCAGTTGCTGGTGGAGCAGTGTGGGTTGTTTCTTCCTTTGGTACAATAGTTCAAGTGTCCTAGCTTTGCGTACTTTCTGTCGATCGATAAGAGGCTATCACATGAGGAATCAAATGAATTTTCAGCCTCAGCAACTAAGTCTTCCTTCTCATTGTCATGTAGTGTAACTATTAGAATAGATGTAAGTAACGGAAAAGAAGACTCAGAAGAATCAAACTCAGTTGCTAGTGGGGCAGTGTGAGTTGTTTCTTCCTTTGGTACAATAGTTCAGGTGTCCTAGCTTTGCGTACTTTCTGTCGATCGATAAGAGGCTATCACATGAGGAATCAAATGAATTTTCAGCCTCAGCAACTAAGTCTTCCTTCTCATTGTCATGTAGTGTAACTATTAGAATAGGAGATGTAAGTAACGAAAAAAGAGACTTAGAAGAATCAAACTCAAAGAAAATGGATGAAGCTTCTATACTGTTCACCCCTGAAGCTGAGGGTGTAGGAAATAGGATTCAGATTTATGGAAGCTAACATCCATAGAGACAGAGAATTTACGACTTGGAGGGTGGTAACATTTGTATCCTTTCTTGCTGGGAACATAACCAAGGAAGACACACTTAAGGGCCCTAGGCTCTAATTTACTCCGATGTTGTTTATGGACATGGACGAAGGCAACATATCCAAAGATGCGAGACTGGAGACTTTGCATAATTGGAACAGAAGAAAAAAAAGAGGTCATGAGATCAATAGGACTTACATGGCCAAGAACTCTTGAAGGTAAGCGGTTGATCAAATAGGCTGCAGTTAATACAGCTTCTCCCCAGTAAGAGTTAGGTACAGATGTCTGAAACAATAATGCTCTGGTGACTTCAAGCAAATGTCGATTTTTTCTTTCAGCAACTCCATTCTTTTGAGAGGTATCCTCACATGTGAGTTCATGAACCATTCCTTTGTCTTTAAGAAATTGGGAAAGGCGCTGATTAACATATTCTGTACCATTATCTGATCTCAAGCATTTGATACTTTTACCAAACTAGGTCTCAATCATATAATAAAATTGGATAAACAATTGTGTTACTTCTGCCTTATCTTTCATCAAGAATATGCATATTATTCGAGTACAATTATCAATAAAGGAGACAAACCACTTAGCACCAGAAACATTAGGACCTTGGAAGGCCCCCAAACATCAGAATGAATAATAGAAGGAAAGGATACAGATGATGTTTAACAAACTGACAAACATCACAATTAAAACACTCAGCCAACTGTGACAAAGACGAAAACATAAACATAAGTAAACTAAAAGGAGGATGACCCAAGCGCTTGTGATGAAGCCAAATAAGAGAATCTAAAGTAGACTGACTAGTCATCAAAATTTGATCCCTCGTATCTTCTGCAGCAAATTCTGGAACCAGAAAATACAACCCACCCTACTCCTTAGGAACTCCAATCGTCTTCCATGTGGTGAGATACTTAAAAACACAATGAGTAAGGAAAAAGGTTACAGTGCAATTCAAATATGTAGTAAGTTTATGAGTAGAAAGGAGATTGGTAGAAAGTTGGAGAACATAAAAAGCATTCTTGAGACACAAGGAGGGTTGAATTTTAATGTTACTAGAACCTGCAACTGATGTGTGTGATCCATCAGCTACGGCTATAGTACGGATACCAACAGTAGGATTATAAGAAAGAAAAGGGTCAATGCAGCAAGTCATATGATCAGTAGCACCAGAATCCAAAATCCATGAAGTTTTGAAATCAGTGCAAAAAGCAATAAAAGAATGAGTGCACGAGTTCTTACCAGTCATAGCCAAATTACCAGTATCAGAAGGCTTATTTAGAGATTCAGATGCGGGCTTAAGCCGTTCCAATTCCTCACGACAAATAGTAGTAAACTCACTAGGCATCTGTGAGGTCTCATTTACAGGAAGAACGTCTGAGGGGGCTAAAAAGGACTGACCACGTGAGGTTGTCTTACTAAGCTTCTCAAGAACCTGTTGCTTCCCATGAAGATGGTAGCAAACCTCTTTTGTGTGACCTGGTATTTTACAATAGTTGCCCCAACGCCCCTCTTTATTGGGCTTAGAAGAAGAGGACCCCTAAGGTTGCTTAGCCGAGATCAGAGCAGGCCCGTCAGTGGGCTTAGAATCAGAAGGAGCTAGAATAATGGCTTTAGATGAGAGCATGACAAATCCTTCGGACAACTTCGCATCCATCATGACAGCCCTGCGACTTTCTTCACATGTGACAGTATGAAAACTTCAGAAAGATAAGGTACTTTTTCCTTACCAAGAATTTGAACCCGAATAGGATCATATTTTGAGTTGAGGCCACAAAGAAAATCAAAGATCCAATTCTTTCAATGGAGGTGGCCAGAGTGGTTGCATCCTTGATACACCCCATCTTCAAACTTTGGTACTGATCAAGCTCAAACCACAATCCATTCATAATGCCATAATATTCTGTTATAGAAAGGGAGCCTTACTTGGTAGAAAAAATCCTATTCCTCATATCATAGCAGTTTGTGGCATCTTGCTTCATTGAATAAGTCTTCCTAAGAACATCCTAAATCTCAAGACAGTAGGTAGGAACATGCAATGTTCACTAACTTCAGGAGTCATAAAGTTCCATAGTCACGTCATAATAAGAGTCTTCATCATCCCAATCAGCAAATTTTGGATCTGTTGTGGCAGGAACAGGTCCTTCAAGATGAGCAATCTTACGATGCCCTTTGAGGATCGTACGAACAAGTTAGGACCATTGTAAATAATTTTTTCTATTAAAACGGTAATTCTTATGAAGAATAGGAAGATCATTCGGAGAAAGAGAAGTCATAGAGCGTGTAAAAGATGGTTGATTGGTTGAATTGGTTGGAGTGTCTTCAACGTCTGACATAATACTTGCTAAATCACAAAAAGATCAGAACCGTCAGTAACCTTTTGAATCTAGTCCGAACAAACAAATCAGAAAGCTTTTTGAAAAAATCCAAACAAGCCCTTTTGAAAAACGAGACGATCAAATGATGTCGAATCAAACAAACGAGCACAGATCCGGAAAGAGCAAGAAGAGGCGATCAGAACCCAAGTGGTCCGCGACAAAAAGTCATTGTCACACTCCGTTACACATCGGTGAAGTTATCGTCGTCACGCGTAGAAGGACTGGTGGAGCGTGAAAGCGTGTTTGAGGTCCATCAGAGCTGGGCTTTTCACGGCGAAATCGTCCGATGAGCGCGAACCTGTCTGTGGCTGGTCGGAGTCAAAAAGTCACCGAAACAGTGTTGTTTTGCGTCGGAATAGTGATGTATAGTCCTTTTAGAGCTGTTTTGATCGTACGGTGAAAAGGAAACTTCTGTAGAATGATAGATCTGAGAAAACAGAGTGAAACAATAGTCCTCTCGGCCCAAAAGGTCCTTGAAAAAATTTCCTGGTGGTGGCGAGAGACAAATAGGGTTCCGCTTTTAAAGGCGGCGGTTTGCGGACGCAGAGCCCTCAGAATCGAGAGCTCTGATACCAACTTGAAAAGAAGGATTTGTATATTATTGAATTGTATCAATAAATGTACAAGAATTCTCTATTTAAAGAGACTAAAAAGACCTAATAGGCTAATCCCAAATAAGCTTCTAGAGTATTCTAACTATTACAAAATAGTGATACAAAATAAAGATCAGATAAATAATTCTAATATTTACAAAAGTAGTCATGAATATGAATAAAAGGAAAATGACAGCATTTATAGATATATGTATGTCAGTGTAGGTCACCATGTTATAAACCTCTCACTATGAGCAGGATCCAGAGAAAGATCAGACCCATGTGTGGGTGTATAGTAGGTAGGCAATCTTACCTTGCACTTGCAAGAGGCTGATCACATGAAATGAACCTGTGACCTGTTGGTCGCATGACGACAACACTAACTGCTGTGCCAATGCTCCCCTTCTATATATTTAAAACTAAACAGCAAAAAATTCCAAGAACACTGACAGTACTTACGGTGTCTTTCTTAATTTTGTCAATCTCCTCCGGATCCAATGGACCAAATTTTTCAGCATAATACCTTTCCTTGTATCCAGCCTCTCCTAACTTAACCTGAGAAAATAACATACATTCAATTTTTTATAAAGATTTCCTCATGATTTCTAGATTATTTAATCATTGGATTTCATGTGGACTGACATTGGCCAAGCTTCCCTGTTAAGTGTTCACTCTTTATATGGATTGCACCAAGAAAAAAAATGTGAATCCTTCTAATCAAGGATTCTTAATCTACTTTTAGCTAACAAAAAGAACATTTAATTTCAAAAAGACAAGATCTAGTTAAGAAAGTAAAAGAATTATCATCAAATAGTTTAAAAAGTGCCACTCACATCAAGTTGTTTTAGAAGAGCCACAAATGTAGCACACATTTTTTGGGTGTATCCAAACAGTTAAATTAGAGAATAGTTAACTTCAAATTAGTATTAACTGACACAAACTTTTAGAAGAAGAAGAATTTGACAACCATAATTCTATGGGAAAACAATGTTATTACACATCACACTCCCAGACATGCTACCCTTGGTGCATGTTTGGGAAGCTACAAGAATTACTTTGGTCTGGGGTCCAGAAAAGTAAATAAGGTGGAGTTCCCAGCCACGAACTTAGAAAGTCAGCAAAATAATCCTAAATTTAGTGTAGCCAAATGCTCAAAGGCTTCTGACAATAAATCTTATTACCGAACCTTATCCACAACTGAGGCCCGTGGCTCTTCAGGCATTTCTCCTCTTGCCCTAGCTTTCATCTCTTCATTGATTTCTGTAACCTGAAACACATCCAAATCACAAATATTACATATCAGGACCTAAACTTTAAAACCATAACTTGAATTAAAAAGGGCCCATATGTTATTTTCTATTTTATCTCTTCAACAAGATTAGTAATGAGCATAATGGCCCTATTGTTCCAATGGAGAGAAGAACCTATGATTAGCTTTTCAGGAAATTTCAACGAAATCTTTCAATTTCTTATTTTACATGTTCAATTCTATGTATGCCTCCATCCGTAGAGTACTGTAAAGAACCAATTCAACCCAAAAGGGTTTTGGGTTAAAATGGTTCTTTACATGGTATCAAAGCCTCGATGTTCTGGGTTCGATTCTCCCGCCCCCATTTTCTTTGTGGAATTTCTTAGCACAGGTAGGTTGGGCCTGATGCATCATACACCTTTCAAACCCAATGGACTCTCTTGTGAGGGTGCTTGTTAGAGAATAATATAAACCATTAAAGAGGCCTTCACCCAATAGCTTAAGCTTTTGGGTAGAATTAGTTCTTTACATGGTATCAGAGCCTCGGTGTCCCCCCAAAACTTCAGTGACCATAAGGTCACGAGTTCGATCCCCACCGCCCCCTACTTGTGAAATTAAATAAGCGTAAGGTAAAAAAAATAAAAAATTGGGCCTATGCAATATCCACGTTTCAAGCCAAGCACAAAGGACTCTTACGTGAGGGAGTGTGTTAGAAAATAATATAAACCATTAAAAAGACTTTCATCCAACACCTTAAGGTTTTGGGTTGAATTAGTTCTTTAGAAGTACATTGAATGTACATAAATGTATATAACAGAGATTATGTTATTCATATTAACAGCTACTCCAAGAGAAATGTTTTTATGCAACGCTAACAATTTAATAACCATCTTTATAGCTCCAAAAATGTTTCAATTTATACTCCTATCTACTATCAGGATATACCAATAAAGATGTATTGTCTAATAAGGCTGCTACGAATTATTTACTCATGGGTGGGGAAGCTCTTCTATTCTGGTTCATGGTTTCTATTGGGTTATATGGTTGGGGGAGAGATTGAGCTTCAAGAAATAGTGAACGGCCTTATCAATCCACAAATGTATAGACCTAGCTAAATATGTACGTGCCTTAAATAATGACTAATCTATGGTAACAGAATATTTTATAATAATTTTACAGAGAATATTATGGGGTAAAGAATGCAGGACTGATGTGGGACTATTACAACACCATATTAAAAAACATATAGCTCATGCATATCAAATTCATTAAATTAATTAGATGGGATTGAGCAGACATTAGTGTGATTTGTGAATGAAATCCCCAGAAATAAAGCCTAATTCACAACATAACCCCAACATTGTATCTATTTTTATTTAATAATTACAAGTAACACAACACAACTCACAGCCCCCCTTCAGAACAATACATACTGAGAGAAGAGGAAAAGACAACAAAGAGAAACAAATATCATAGTATGTATGCAAATAAGCATACAGACTTATGGGATAGACTAAGACTATCAAGAAACATTTGCTCCTGTTGCCAAACTCAGCACTATTAGAGTTCTCTTGCCCTTGGCTGGACTGAATCGGGATCATATGGGCTCTTGATACCATTTGGAAAAACTGTATTTGATTTGTATATCAAAGAATTAGGGGTTACAGTATATATACACTGCCTGTGTTAGAATTAGGAAACTATTAATTACAAGAATAGGTAATAATGGACAGAATCATAAAATATAAGCATTCCTAAGAGACGTTGACTACATGATTTTCTATAAAAGTAATAAGTAATAGCCGAAGCAGAGTTATAGATTAGAGGGAGACACTGTACCTATTTCAATGGGACAAGGATTAATGAATCATCCTCTAGAATTTTATTGGATAAAGGCCGACGATAATTCGTTACATTCTCTACTTACAGTCATTTCCTTCATTTGTCATCCATTCAATGAAAAATTAGAAAAGGACACCTCCACTCCCGGAGCACGATACAACCAGATCAAATTAATAATTCAGCAAGATTTTATACCTTTTTTAAAAAAATATTTAATTTATCTAGTAGCCAAAGCCAATTTAATTACTCCTTATCTGCTCAATGCAACTTTAGATGTTATGAAGCTGTATTATTAAGGAAGATTTCAAGTCTGCTTAACAACTAGATTCCAAATTAATTCAATTGGCAGAAATAATCAAGGGTGAGAAAAAAATGTTATATTATGTAAGAAATTTTCAACAAATAAATAACATCAACAACAACTTTATCCCAAACTATTTGGGGTCAGTAGTTGATGAATCCAAAAGAAAAAATTGAAGGAAAAGAAGTGAAAAAATAAATAAATAAAAAATAAAAATTCAAAAATAGAAATTTAAAACTTAAAAGAAATATTAAAAAAAATAGAATAAAAATATAGAAATTTTCAACAAATAAGATGGATCAAAATACACAAAATGCAAGATTGAATGGAAAGAGAAGAAGATTTTTCCATATAAATATCAACAGAAGAACTTTCTTACAAATGCATCAAGCATTTACCCATCTCTAAGTACAGAACCATAAAAATCAGCAGAACTCTGACAGCTAACAATTTCGGTTAGTGCAAAACTTCAGAGGGTTCAGAAGTTTAAGAATTAATAATAATTTTTTCAGTAGATAGAATTCATAATGATTACCCCATGAAAATAGAGATAATCAAAACACAGAGAAATGACAATACCTGCTGAATCCGAACTCGTTTCTGAAATATTTGATCTTCATGAACGGCAACAGACTGAATAAAATGTTCCACTCTCTCTAAGAAAACCTGGGAGATATAAAGAAATTCACATTGCAATGCTCATTGAAAAAAGAAGAAATTCCAGACAGATGACTTAAGATTTAAAAATCCAAAGCACAAAACAAGCAACTGAAGGAAGATGATTGCTGGAAAAAACTACCGGATACAAAAACATATGACATCCTTAAAATAACAAACACAGACGAACATAACTTATTTGAATTTCAGAAAAGAGAAATTTACCTCACCCGCATCAGTAAGATAACCACCCATGGCAGTGAATTCTTTTCTGTAAATATGCATCAATAAATTCACAGCCCCCTGAAACAGTAAATAGTTTATCAAGGAGAACACTGACAGTTAGATAGAAAGGAATATACACGAGAAAAAGGGTATAACTAAGCATTTTAAGAATCCTACATATAAAAAAATAAATAAAAAATTAAATAGATAAATCATTAAATAGTAACAAGAAACAGATGGCATTGGCATACTTTCCGTTTCAAGTCACAGCTCAAAATAAGTATATAACACAGTTCCAGCCAGATGCTTACCTCCCGGATCTCTAATGTTGGCATATGTGGAAGAAAGTCATTGCCAACAAAGAAGCATAGAAATACAAAATCATCAACTATGCGTTCAAAGTCAATCTCAAAAGGAGGGTTGGGAATCTCCAATTCATATTGCAAATATTCACGCAGCACCCAGATGTTAAGAAACTGTGCATGCAAGGAATTAGTTTAAAATTAAAAAACAACAGAAAAGAAAAATAAAGATTCAGCTTGACATGCTGGATTCTAATCCTCCAACCTGATATTTCTTCTTGTGAATTGGGGTATCATCAACAGGATTCCAGTCCTCAGATTTATCACCTGGCTTACCACGACACTCAGCTGCAAAATGGCCAACTTGACCACATGTATAACACTTCTCCTGTTGTCCAGGGAAAGTAATTACCTGTACACTCAGGTAATTAATCAATAAGGCAATCCATTGGGATCAATGAGCTAAAATCAGCAGGATAATTCATACACTGGAAACTAACCTCCCTCAATATTGAGAAATGAACCTCATGTGTAGCTAAGGACAGCATAATCAAATCAGCATCCTGATTTAAAGATCACATCATACCATTCAAAAATCAAGGAAAGAATAAATAGACCAACATCAGATAAGGTGAAATTTTCATAATCAGGTAAAAACTCACCAATCCATACAAACAGTGTCGAGTATTTGGATTAAATCCAGGAATGTTACGCTGTAGTCGGATGTATTCCATTATTTTATGTTCTCCCTCACCAGGAACATTTGAATCAGAAAGTATAACCTTGAAATAATCACCCAATGCAACCGCATAAATAAATATATAGAGACAAACTATCCTGGAAGCAAGATATATGCAATATGGGAAATGAACAGAGACAGGATTACTCCACAAGGAAGGATTACCCAATCTCGAAGGGATAAAGGGGGGCAAAGAATAAATATAATAAGGTCAAGAACACCTTTGTATACCGCCAGCCAGGGTTGTAGTTCAATCTAGTCTGTATATAATACTGAAGAGCCACTGACATCACTGCCATAAATTGAGTGCCAGGGGTAATGACATTTGAGTCAGAAGTCTCAGGCTTGTCTTTCAAAGACAAAAGTTCTATCTCGCCCTCAAATTCTTTCCTAAGCCTTTCCTCTTCAGCTTCCTACAAAGTCACACTGTAACTCAAAAACTTTTTCACAGAAATAGTTGGAGATCATTGTAAAAAGGAAATATTTATATTCTTACTGCCTCAGCTGCATCTTTTGCAGCTCGGAAACGCCGAGAACGTTGCTGGTTCATTTTGGCTCTTGGTGCAACGCCATCTTAAGGGGCAAGAAAATTACACATGCAAAGAAGTGGTTGGAATGAGAAAATGGTTCGAAGTTAAATCAGACAATTGATCCTCAACATCACAGACAGAAAGATTACACCTTCCAAAAATTGGATATATACAAGTTTTAATTGGCCATATAGGCTTTCATGCTTTACATACACTTATCTGTAAAAATTTGTACTAAATTTTGAATGTTCAAACCATGCAGGAACCTGATCGGTTACTGACCAGCGAAATGAAATAGAATGCTTAATGGAAACCGTGTTGCTGGCACAATTAACTTCTTAATTGACTTCTTTAGTGTGATTTCTAGGTTTTTGACATAGAGATATAAATCCATTAGATTTATAACCTAAAGGAGGTGACCTAGCAGATTCGGTAACAGAAATCTGACACCTCCATGATGAGTGATGTTAGTTAATTACAGAAAGACAAAAATAAGAAAATGCAACATACCAATTGCAAGATAAAGAAGCTTCCTTGGGCGAACCAATGAAAAGAGATGGTCGATGTAGTCAAAGATTGATTTGAATACATCATTATAGGTAGCAGGTGCTGGCTGCATTTAAATATTAGTCAACAATAAGCAGTTTGCAGAGTAGAAATGTAAGTTTACAAAAACTACTTGGTTTCAGACACACTAACGAAATCATTTTTACAACAACCATATGTATACCTCTCTCTCCTTCTTGATGGTAAGGTCCACCCAAACACATTATTTAAAGATCCCAAAATAAAAAATTTACAGATCCCAATTCCCATAGTGCAGTCTGCTTATCATGAGGTTCCACCCTACTTACATGATCATGTATCAATTATATGTCTCCAAAGAGACCGTGTGCATGTGACTTTTACGTCATTTCTTTAAGAAGCACTAAAAATACCACTCCCCGTTAAACCCGACTAACGAGTGTGAGGTGGAGGAAATCCTTGTACGCACGTAGCCTTATCCTTGCATAATTGCAAAGAGGCTGTTTCCTAAATTCGAACCGATGACCTTTCAGTCATGAAGGAACAGTTTTGCCATTGCTCCGGCTAGGAACTCAAAAATTTTACAAAGCATCTAAACGCAACAATTTTTAAAACAAGTTTTCAACAATCAATTCAGGGGCATATGACCTAAAACTAAGAGAAGAGAACAACACAACGTTAAGCACGGAGCACCAGTTCACTATATACAACGAGCTTAATATGTAAATCGAATTAAGAAATTCATAACAAGACTTCAAACGGGAAGTTGAAACAGAAATTTCAGAAGTTGACTATTATAACTCTCTGCTCCCTTTGTTTCTTTCTCTTTAGCTAATAATATATATTTAGTTTCTTCAACCAATGAAGAAGACATTACTAGCAGGATAATAGGTCAATCGGTTACAATATTCCAAGCGACAAGAACGGAACAGACATTGAATTGGGAGAACAGATTCAATGAAATTGAGGTGAAGCGAAGCAGGTAGGTAGGTACCTTGCCATCAGGGTGAAAACAAGGGTGAATGATACCGTTCATGTCCAAGTATAAGTTGTCGAACTCCATGCCATTGGGATTAGGTTTAGACACATCAACGGGAAACGGAACACCGCCGTCGCCGGTGGAGGGTTCTTCCTCCACAACATCGACAATCGAGAGCGGGTACCGGTCCGCGAGCCACCGGTAAAACGCTGGCACTCCCATATTTCCGGCTCGGTTCGACCCGGTTCAGAAACGACCAGAGAGAGAGAGAGAAAAAAAATAGGGAAACTATGGAGATCTGTGTTTCCGTTTGAGAATTTACGGGCAACTGCGGTGGCCGCCTTGTTTGATGAGACGAAAATACCCTCCTTTCGAGTGTGCCCCACCAAACTTGTTATATAATTAAAGAAGATCAAATCAAAAAAGGAAAACTTCAAAAATCTCCCTGAAAGTTTAGTCAGAATCATTTACTCTTTCTTTAAAATTTTTAATCATTTATATTCTTATTTACAATTTTTTTATCACTTACTTCCCTAACTTGATTTTCCATCCAAAGTTAAAGTTAACGGAGTTAGTCTTTTAAAAAAATATCAAAACTACCCTTAAAAAAACAAGTGATTATGATTGAACTTTTTTTAAGGGTAGTTTTGGTATTTTTTTAAAAGAGTAATTCTGTTAACTTTAACTTTGGATGGAAAATCAAATTAGGAGGTAAGTGATAAAAAAAATTTAAGTAAAGATATAAATGATTAAAATTTTTAGAGAGAAGATAAGTGATTCTGACTAAAATTTGAGGGAGTTATTTTTGAAGTTTTCCCCGTGAAAAAATTCATATGAAGTATCAAAGTAGATAATACTGATATTTAAATGTTCAACGTGAGTTGTCCATGACATTAAAATTCAAAGAAAAAGGCTCATTTGTAATTGCTTACTAAGAGGAGATTATTAAAAGCATTATTATTTTCATCTCTTAATATAAGGTAATGTGATATTTTTTTAAAATAAATGAGAGGACGGTATAATTTAAGCATCAATTTATCCTTATTTAATTAAAAACCTGATAATTAAAATTCTTTTAGTATCAAATAAATAAAAAAGAAAAAAATATTTATGCCGTTAATGCAGATAAGCTATCTGTATTTATTTCCAAAACAACGTCGTTTTGGTATTGAAATCTTAAAAAATTATAAATATAAAAACTATTATAACCCTGAAATAAATTAAAATTACAAAAACACTATAATTTTCGCAAAAAACAACGTTGTATTGAACTTAGTGCAGATAACTTATATGCAATACCTGCCGAAAAAGCAAACCCTATAAAAAAACAATTGTTGTAATCTCAGACTTGAACGAGGTGGCACAGTGAAACCGAAGTGCATCTATTTGGATGAGGAAAAGTATTTCTTTGGAGATAAAGTTATCTCCAGTGAACTCAAAATGACGTTGTTTTTTGTTATAAGATTAAAAAATTATAATTATAAAGATTAATATAACCCTGCAATATATTAAAATTATAAAAATATATTAATTTTCGTCCCAATATAATATTATTTTAGACTCACTAAAAATAACTTATTTTCGTTGATCGAAACAAATCCTTTATCCATAAATCTTTACTTCAAGATTGGAAAAAACTTCCTTTCCTCCAAAACTTTTTGCAAACAGCTTTACTGTTTCAGATCAACCGTTGACCCCACTAATTAAAGAGTTTGGTAAAGGGGGCTTTCAAAAAAAAAAAAAAAAAAAAAAACCTTATTTTAAAAGTGTTCCGGGTTTAACTTTAGTTCTGGGTTTAATTCATTATCCGACTTCGGCCTGCCCTAGAGTTCAGATTGTGGGTTTGATCTCATGATCTCACTCTTCTTCATAACTGCCATGATTATCACTAAAGGAACTGCTACATACTCATGATTCCCCTCCTTAACCGCTCATGAGAACTGTTATATATACATTGATAGTACCAAAGGAAGAGGCACATCATTACTTTCCCTCATTCATACAGAACATAAACACTCGCTCTGGTTTATCTCATCATATCCATCATTAGCCTGTCTCAAATACTTAACCTATTGTTAATGTTCAACCCCGAATAAAAAGTATTTTTTATAAATGATAAAATTATTTAGATTTTTAAAAAATTATTTAATTTTTATAAAAATATTTGGCTATTGATTTCTATTTTTTTTTAGAAACTAAGATTTTTAATTTTTAAAAAAAAAATAATTTTTTGGTTTTTTTATTATTTTTATTTTTAAAAAAAAAACAAACATCCAAATAAATTTTTTCTAAGGAATACATTAAAAAAAAAAAAAACATCCAAATTTGGGTAAAAATGTAATGAACCTGATATTAATTCAAGTAACGGATTGAAAATTTTAAACTTGATGACCCGATTGGCTATATCAAATTAAATGCTACGTTTTTTTCAACTTTTTGTGAATACAAAATGCACATCAACCTGGCCAGAAAAGTTTTGAGACGACAAGCATGTGGCCAGCAAAAAATTTTGTGACGACAAGCAAATATTAAAGTGATAAGTTTTAAGTGCAAACAGTCCAAGGCATCATTAGGACCAAGATGCTTCGTGAAGATATGTATGTTTCAGCACAAGCTCAAGAGAAATTTCAAATAATATGAAAATGTATGTACGTAATTCCCTGGAAGTTTTTGTTTAATATCGCAAACTGTGTTGAAAAATAATGAATATTTCAAACCGTTTTGAAAATGTTTTTAGACTTCGAATCATGCTTTTTAATTCAAATAATCAATTTTAAAAATACAACGATCAATTATGTTTATTACTTCTTGTTTAATGATTATTTGTTTATCATTTGATATGGTTTTTATTTCAAGCCAGTAATCAATTATTATTAGCTTTGCCTAGAGATTCTTACCTCGAAAATATAATTAATTATTACTTGAAAATAATTAATTGTTAGGTTCTTTAGAATATCCAGTTTTATGAAGGAATCAAATATTCCATTATTTGGCATTATTAATCAATTATTGAAAGTTCATTAACCAATTATCCTTCTATATCGATTATTGGGAGATATAGAGAAGAGTTACAACAAGTAGTTATTGCTTTTATTATGGTTGTTGAACATCTAAGCAAACATCGTTGACCATTTATTTCATACAATTAAAGTGACGATCTGTTCTTTCAGCTTAAGCGATAAATCCTTATCTACCCATTGAAATTTAAGATATATATCCTATTTGAGAGTTATATTTTAGGGAATTGTATTTCTCCCATGAAATAATTTGTCTTAGGGTGGCAATTTATGACACGACCCGCCAACCCAACCCGGACCCGACACGAAATTTTCGTGTTCGGGTCAACCCGTTTAATAAATGGGTCGTGTTCGGGTTGGAAAAATATAACACGAAAATATTCGTGTCGGGTCACGGGTCAGCCCGTGAACCCGCTCTAACCCGCAAATATAATTTTTATTTATTTTTATAAAATTATTTTATTAGATGGTATAAAAGCAATATGTTAGATTTAGGAATATGTTAGATTTAGGGTTCAATTAGGCAGCGTCCCTCTTTCTTCCTTTCTGCTTATCGTCTGCAGCCCCTCTCCCACAGCCCTCTCCACCGGTTTTTATAGCGTCTTCTCCGTGTCGTCTCCGGTCTCCACTTTCTGACCGCCTTCTCCCATGGTGTTTTACTTTTTTTCTTTGATGCTTTTGGGGATTTCTTGAATCTTCATCAATTTGATTTCTTTCTTTGTTTCTTAGTGGCAGTGCACGGGACATGGGTTGTAGAAGAAATTTTCCGACATGGTTGCTGCTGCTGAAGTTTTCCGCCCAGCCCCTTAAAAATAAATTTTTTTTATGTACCATCTTCGAGAAGTTTCCGACATGGTTGCTGCTGAGATGATTTTCTCTTTTCAAAAGCTTCACAACAATGAAAATAACAAAAAGTTTCCAACAGCTACTGAGATGATTTTCTCTTTTCCATTTTTTAATCTTGGAAAAAATTCCACTTGGAGATCTGTGGTGGAAATCAGCATATGGATGCTGCTGTCAAACAAGTTGGTCGAGTTGGGTCGTTTGAGTTGGGTTGGGTCGTGTAAAGAATAGTGTGTTTATATCCGGGTTGTCGTGTCAACCTGTTTAATTATCGGGTCGTGTTTGGGTTGAGAAATATAACACGAATTATTAAACGTGTCGTGTTCGGGTTAAGACTATTCGTGTTCGTGTCAGATCCAACCCGACCCGAACCCGACCTGTGAACACGAATTGCCACCCCTAATTTGTCTCATGCAACACAAAAAAAAGTAGATAGGATTCATTTTTTTCCTTTTTCTCTCTCTTTTTTAGTGGATTTCATCTATTTTTTTGTGTGTATTGCATAAGACAAATTATTTCATGCAACATGAGAAAAATCAAACCCTATATTTTATTACATCATCATATCATTGTAAAAAGAGTGAAGTTAACCCTGAGGTGTAGCTCAGATGGTAGCGCATTGAGCTTCAGGGATCGGGCTCGTGAGTCTAAAGGGCTTGGAGTTCGATTCCTGCAAAGCGCACTTTGGGGCCAGTGGAGAATATCCTTAAAGCGCGCCAATCCACCAAAGGGAATTAGTCCCATCCCGAAGTGGGGATATCCTTGGGTTCAAGGTTGTTAAAATTGAGATCTTAAGTAAAATCGGAAGGAAATTAAAAAACCGTAATGTAAATAAATCGTAAAAATGTAAAAGCGTTTGGAATATTAGTCAAATTGTTTTGATGAAAAAAATCGTAAAAATATAAACCGTAGTGATAAATCGAGATTTTAACAGCAATACTTATGTTTACTAAAAAAAAAAAAAGTGAAGTTTCTCTCAAACGAGAGAAATTGATATTCGGGTGCCAGGAGAGTTAATTTGCTGTAGAAGTTTCAAGCAGATTTTCATGATTCAAAATTGGTGAATAAATCTCAAGCATATTGATTGGGAATTGGACATAGAAGGGAGTGACCATTTCAGTATAAATAATAAATCTATGTTCATATTTCTTTATCCATATCCCTTTAAAAATTTCAGTTTGTTTATTTCAACTGAAATATTAATATTGTTAATTTGAGTTTTAATCATCTATTAATTCCTTTATTTTCTTAAATAGTTTCAACAAAAATATTTCATAACAAGTTTTATAAAAATATTTTTTTAAAATAAATAAATATATTATCTCAATTCATTCACTTTTGAATTTAATTATTGGCATTTGATAACATGTTTGACTTTGAAAACCCTCATCATTCAGGACTCTTCAATCTCTTTTTTCTTTGCATCTTGGGCTTGCTAGTCCTAATCCTAAATCCCATCTCTTTCTTTACTCCATTGATAACACCGCAATATGATAAGGCGATTTTTTTAATTTTCTTACTTATAACAATTTCAATAAGTTATTATTTATTTAGTTGATTAATTTATAATTATATACTATCAAAAAAATTATCAAATAATGAAATTTCAATATAACTACGAACTATTTATATCTCAATCTTCAATTTATCTCAAACAAAAAAGATTGAAACAGTTAATTAGTTCAGATTCTAATATAATATCATTAAAATTAAAATTAAAACTTAAACTATAATTCTAATTCTATTATCCCAAATGAATATTTCATATGTTAAAAGTTAGGATGAAAGATGTTCAATTTTAACAGTTGAGATCATGGCAGAACTAAAGTAAATTAATAAGGTGGCTGTTTACCAAACAAAAAAAATTAATAAGGGGGCTTAAAAATTTAATTATGAAGGGACCAAAATAATGTTTTTGTTTTTCACATAAATTTGCATTCAAAATTACATTAAAAATAAAAACTTGTTTACCGAAAATTAAATAAAAAAACTTAAAGGGCCGAAGCCCTTCTCACCACTAACATTGGGCCACCCGCTACTGAGACCCAACGATGAATTTCAGTATTGGACATCTCATTCAGCTGGGTCAATTTACTGTAAGTTGAACCTGATTTAAACCACGTCATATTGGGTAAATTTTAAAAAAAAATTGGTGAACAGTAAATTTTAATTTTAATTAGTAAAATATTGTGCTAAGCCAACCACCTGCAGGTTCTGATTATTTGGGAGAGCCTGCAATTTATTATTTTTCCTATTAATTATAGTCTGGAAATGTCTATTTTAAATAATTTATTTGATGAACTTGTATATAAAGACAGTTAAAATTTTAATTTCAAACTCATGAATTATAAGTAAAATTTTGCTTCCATAAAACTTAAGTTGCTAATTGAGATCTTTCAAGCCCGTTTACACAGTTGGTAAGCAATTTGAGTTTAAGGAACATATTTATAAGAATTAGTCTTGTCTAAATACTTGGAGACATCCAAAAAAATAAAAAATAAATAAATTACTTTATTTGAATTTTCTTTTTGTTAATTAAAATTTATTTTTTAATCTCCAAATCTCAACTACTCCACTCTTATATGGAATCTTTTAGTTTATTTTTCCTGACAAATGATTTAAATGATATTTAGAATTAGACTTTTTATATTTAAGTTTAATTAAACAATTACATTTAGAAAAGGGGAAGTCATGCCGAAAGCGCATAGAAAAGTGGCTAAACAGAAAGTTAGGATTTCATAAGAGAGTAACCCTCCGGTTCTCAATTTTTAATTATCAAATAACAAAATTTAACTCATAGAATAAGGGTCATAAGCACCTTTTTATAGACTAATTACAAATTTATTCAAAATTCTAAATCTAAAATTCTAAAAATAATAAAACTTCCTAAAATAAAATAACAGTAATTAACATCTAAAAATAAAAATAAAATTACAAATAAATAATTCAAAATACATCCCAAATCTTTAATCTCAAACAAATCACAATCACATCTGCTGCTTTCTTGAGACTTGGATTCAATTGTAGTTTGTCATATTTCAAATCATTGTCTCTTTCAACAATTGAGCCATACTTATTGGGCCACAACTCTAGTTGACTACGAGTTTCTTGAATAAATGGCTGGGCCATGTACAATGGGCCAACGATAAGTGCATCAGGAAAGATATTGTAACAACCAATTATTGTTACTACCAATCAATTTCACCGTTAGATCGATTATGTTGATCCAACGGTTATATTTATTTCCATATTTGTATGGTTATGATTTCTCATATTTAATACTTTTATATTTATTTCAACCTTTGTATGATTATGATTTCCCATATTTAATACTTTCACATTAAATATGAGGAGTCAAAATCATACAAAGATGTAAATAAATATAATCGTTGGATCCACATAATCGATCTAACGGTGAAATTAATTAGTAGTAACACTAATTGGTTGTTACAATATCCTACTCCTTTTAGAAAAATAAAAATTATACCAAATGAAGTGATTTGCATTGTAATAATATAGATGTGATTTGTCCAATAACTATTGAACTGGATCACACAAGGTTGAGTCTGCAACGTTTAAGTATGGGCTTTGGCTGGTATGCTGCAATGAGATATTTGGCAGGTTGGTGGGATACTTCGCGAGATGTCTGGTTCGAAACGTTTTGAGGCACTTTAAGGAGACTAGAGACTATGAAAGGTATTTGTAAGGCATTCATATACTCAAATTAAAATATATTCAAGTTGTTCAAGTATGGATGAAAAATATTATGACATATGAGCTTAGTGCCTATCTATATATAATAGATAAACGCCCTGATTATTCCTCATTGATATGACAATAATAATTTTTATTGGTGGACAGTCGTAGTCTTCGCAAGCTATTCCTTGATCAGAATGTCTATGGTTAGGCTAAATCTTCGTAGATGTGGTGGCAAGTAAGTGTCTGTTCCTTAGTTACTGGTCATTAAAGGGGCAATTATGCTCTGAGCAACTGACGTTGTGTGGTTGCAATTGGCTGAACAACTAGTACAATGTGTCAGGAGGAGGTTGCAGAATTGTCAAGATACGCGATATGACCGTATTTCCTTTGAAAGCAAGTAATAGGTTCAAATCAAGATGGAATAGAGGTTACCAAATATATAAAAACATAAGTTGAATGGAGGTGGAAATTAAGATATAATAGAGATTAACAAATAAATTATGATTAGACTTTTTATATCTATTCATAATTAATATATAAAAATCAGGAGATTAATGTTTTTCATATTGTAGAAAATAATTTTATTTTCTATATATACATAAAATTGTATAGGGTTCATGTGGATCTATATGAAAAGATGAGAGAAAATATATGAGCCCCACATATTTTAATATATGTTTGAGAGATAATTTTTTATTCTACAAGATGAAAAATACTAAATCCAAAAATTAAATATAGAAGAATTTATTATTTATTATTTTTTCTTCTCTCTCTTTCGTTTCACTGACAACAACTTGATTTAAAATTGATACTAAAAGTCCACGGTGATGGATGATAACAGAATTCTTAAATTTGTTATTATTCAAGTAAACATTATTTAAATCACTACTGCTATATGAAGTTACCACTTACAGTTACCGGTGCCCGCAGTGGCACAGCCCACACAATACCGAATCATTTTCTTTTTTGGTTTTAGAATACATTATTTTTATAACATTACTTACTTGGAAAGGCTTTGGAGTTCGTTTTTTTTGCCTTCAGCTTTTCTTCATTTCCGATAACAAACAAAAAGGCAAAGACCAAACGAGTAAACTAAAATGTAACAGTTAAAAGGTGGCAACAGTTGGCTCTGTTGCTCACTTCGCTGTTCGGAAGAATCACTGTCTAATCAATAAAATAAGACTGGAAGGGCTTATAGTTTTTCCGTCCTCCTCCTATAAGTCTTCTCTCTTATGAAGCTTCTCTTATATATAAAAAAAAACACGCGTTCCTTGGATCAGATTTTGTTGCTGTTCTGGTAACTGGGTGAGCCATCCAAATCTTACTACTTTCAACATACCCTGCATTGTTGTAACAAAGTTTTATGTTTATGCCGTTTCTCTCTTCCGCTTTTGCTTCAGCTTTGTATCTGTGACTCTAAAACTGCAAGCTCTTCCTAACTAGATTCTCATTCATATGCTTTTTCTCGGTTACATTCATACCCTCTGCCGCAAAATCTTCATGTAATTTTAACCCTTTTGACCTTCAAAGTTTGAAGTTTACTTTAGGGGCTAGTCTACTTATCTTGTTCTTGCCTCATATTTCTTTTTTTTCTAGTATATGGTTATCCAGGCTCTTGATATTAGATCGATTCAAGACACATAACAAGAATTCAAGTTTTTTCAACGAGTAATATTTTTGAAACATAATCACTATAAGTTTCTTTGGTCAATCCGAGACTTGAACATTTTTATTTTCTCAGTCCCAACCCTTTTCCTACACAGGGCATGATCTATTTCTAAATAGGCGAATTTTGATATCTTTAGTATTTACAAGAAAAAAACAAATGAAACAAACCAGTATAATACATTCGGAATGGAAATTCTTGTTCTGTTTTTAATCACAGGAAAAGTCAACTCAACCAATCCAAGTCCGGATAAATTTTATGAGGATTTTATATCTTTCTGTTTACATTTACCGGGACCTTTCACCCTTCATGATTTTGCAGTGCCTTGCTAAAAAATGGCGGAAGAGAAGTCAACCATTGCAAAAGATGTCACCGAAGTAAGTCATGTTCAATGCTGTCCTTCTTTGTCTTCATGATGAAGCAATCTAGCTTACAGTACATATGAATTCATTTTTGAAATGTGCAGTTAATTGGCAAAACTCCATTGGTATATCTCAACCATGTTGTAGATGGCTGTGTTGCCCAAATTGCTGCAAAGCTAGAAATGATGGAACCCTGCTCCAGTGTCAAAGACAGGTATATAGATTTCTTCATTCTTATATTGGAAAGTGAGCTAGCAAAATGCCATCTAACCATTTACTCTTGATTTGATGCTCGACTGTGTATGTTCACACCCTTTTTAAAATGCTTAAATTGATAGAAGTTTTAGCATAGAATTTGTATTAATATATAATTATTTATTTTCCTACAGGATAGGATATAGCATGATTGCAGATGCTGAGGACAAGGGACTCATTAGACCCGGTGAAGTTAGTTCTTGTTTTAGTTTGTCCTTTCCTTCTTGTATATTTGAATTCATGTTGCACACATAGCTATCTTTCATAATGCATCAAACTTCCTTCTACTTATTCTTTCCAATTTTTGAGTTCGTATTGTATGAGAAGATGTTATTCAGCTCTTATTGATGCTGACACCCAATTGCTTTTAAATTTTAAAATGTCAACACAGGAGTGGTTCTATAAGACACTTAACCAATTCATTATCATTGCAGTGTCATCTTTGAAGAAACTTATTACTGCTTACTTGGGAATTCATCTGGTTTATTCTTGTTCATGTTGTAGAGTGTACTCATTGAGCCTACCAGCGGGAACACTGGCATAGGTTTGGCATTCATGGCAGCTGCTAAGGGTTATAAACTTATTATAACCATGCCTTCTTCAATGAGTCTAGAAAGAAGAACCATTCTTCGAGCTTTTGGAGCTGAGTTAGTTCTTACAGATCCAGCCAAGGGCATGAAAGGGGCGGTTCAGAAGGCAGAAGAGATACAGGCAAAGACTCCCAACTCTTATATTCTTCAGCAGTTTGAAAATCCTGCTAACCCAAAGGTATTGTGTCAATGTGTTGTTTTTGGAGAATCAGTTGGTTGAAGAATATATTCACACCCGCTATCTTCCTCCTATTCTTAGATCCATTATGAAACCACTGGACCAGAGATCTGGAAGGGCTCGAATGGAAAGGTTGATGCTCTTGTTTCTGGGATAGGGACTGGAGGAACAGTAACAGGTGCTGGGAAATATCTAAAAGAGCAGAACCCTGATATCAAGGTTAGGCTTTTAATTTTTTGATTGTGTATTTATCTTTCTAATTTTCCCTTTGTTTTCTCTACAAATTTTTTCTTTTATCCGTAGCTATATGGCGTCGAACCAGTTGAAAGTCCAGTACTGTCTGGAGGGAAACCTGGTGAGTATTTATTTTTTATGTTTTCATTCATGGCAACTGTCTCTGATTATTACATCTATTAAAATATCTAGAAAGCATCTCTCAATATCATTATTGTATTTTAGAATATTTTAGAGTATTTTAAATGATCTGAATGGTTTCCATATTTCATGATTTGTTTCCTTATTTAATTAGGATTAAGAATCTAGTGTTAGTATAAATAGGGGTTAATGCCATTGAGAATCAAATTTGTGATCTTATAATCACTCAAGCTCTGATACCATGTAAAGAACCTTGGAATACTATATATCTCAACACGTCCCCTCACACGAGAGCCCACTGGGCTTGAAGGGTGGATAATACATAGGTCCAACTATCTGTGCGAAGAAAGAAATTCCACCGGAAAGAAAGTGGGGGGCGGCGAGATTTGAACCCAGGACCAGGACACGAGGCTCTGATACCAAGTAAAGAACCTTGGAATACACCACCCCAAAAGCTAACTCAAAGGGTGAGAGTGCCCAAGGCCTTATAAAGGTCACATTAGTTGCCCACACAATCAATGTGGGACTATATATCTCAACACGCCCCCTCACACGAGAGCCCATTGGGCTTGAAGAGTGGACAATGCAACAGGCCCAGCCGCCCAGCCTACCTGTCCTAAGAAACGCCACAAGAGAAAATGGGGGGCAGCGAGTAGGGGTGTTCGCGGTCTGGATTGGATCGGTTTTGGAAGCAAAAATCATCTGATCCAATCCCTTCGGTTTGAATTTTTTTTCAAATCCGATCCGATCTAATCTAATTTTTTTCGGTTTGGATTGGATCGGTTTTCGGTTTTTTGAAAATCCTAAAATTTATTTCATAATTATTATACAAATAACATCTTTTGTATGTATTGGCTTTGTAAATTATTATTTTTTAAATACAAAAGTATAAGTAAACTATAATATAATTTTTTTTGGGGCAATGAGATATGAAGCTCTACAAAGATAAAATTTTGTTGATGAGATGTGACTAGATTTTTTCTTGGGTTTAGTTGATACCCAATGGGTCTTGGGTTTAGAAAATTTTGGACTATGATTGGGAAAAAGACCCAAGTAGGTAGAGGGGAATTAATATATTGGATCGGTTTGGATTGGATCTGTTTTCATCAACCCATCCAAAAACCGATCCAATCCAATTAAAATTTGCGGTTTTTTTTCGGTTTTCGATTTATTTGGTTATCGGTTTTTCGGTTTGGTCACCGCGGTTTGAATCGGTTTGGATCGGTTGATGAACACCCCTAGCGGCGAGGCTCTGATACCATGTAAATAACCTTGAGATACACTACCCCAAAAGCTAGCTCCAAAGGTGAGAGTGCCCAAGGCTTTATAAACTTCACAGTAGTTGCACATACAATCAATGTGAGACTATATATCTCAACACGCCCCCTCACGCAAGAGCCCTTTGGGCTTAAAGGGTGGACAACATACAAGTCCACCTACATGTGGAAATTCCACTACAAAGAAAGTGAGAGGCGGTGAAATTTCGAACGCTCTGATACCATGTTAAGAACCTTGGAATAAATGCATTGATTTTTTATGTGCTTCACTTGATAGAATATTTAGAAAATATTTCATAATAATGAGATTATTGTATTTTGGACAATAGTCATTTCAATATTTATGTGCTTCATTCGTTATCTCTCTTGCTTACATTTTGTTAATGCTATTTCCTTTTTTCAAGTTATTTTCCGGTTCAAGTTTTATTCTCTTTTGATTTTGTACATATCTTATTGTCTATAATGTAACCTTTTTTCTTAATCACCATTTGAAAATCTAATTTCTAGATTCCTATATCTAGAGGCATGTGTGCTCTGTCATCCACCATTATTGCATTGATGATATTATTCAAGCATGTGATTAATGATCACTTGTAAGTTGTACACACATGAATACAGTGTGCTTATCACTTAACGTGCTTTCTTGGAGTTCAAAATGGAACCTGAATATATGATCTGCCAGCCTTATTACCTATGTTTCCCTCCTTCAATGACAAGGAAAAATATTTATATGCTATTTTTTATTGTTTAGATTTAATTAAATGCCTACCTCCTATGTATCTTTCTCCTGACAAATGCACGGTTGTTAAATGCATATAAGGCCCTCATAAGATTCAAGGAATTGGCGCTGGCTTCATCCCTGGTGTTTTGGATGTCGATTTACTTGATGAAGTTATTCAAGTAAGCCACAAACCTTTTGTTAAGTTTATTTGTACTTAAATAAATGGATATTTTTTTGCTTGTATGATAATCTGATGTTCCTCCATTCTACTCCTAATGTTTGCAAAAGAAGTCCAATTGTGTGCTTTGCAGACATGCAAAACATGTGACAAGAGAAATAGTATTTCTGATAAGTTACTAATTCAAGTGTCAACTATACATTTAGGAGTAAATTTTGAATTATTTAAGGGGAAAAAAATTTCTTTCATTTTTATTAACATGAATATGCAATCCGTATCTCTTTTCCCTCTTTACTTGGTGAAGTAGAACTAAACCAAAAAATCTTGAACTTGAAGGCAGGAAGTGTGTTAGTTCACTCCATATGTGAGGAACCAGGAGTTATACTAATTTATCAATGCATTCTGAATGTATAGATAATAACTCTTAGTTTTATCTGTTTTTGTAGATTTCAAGTGAAGAAGCTATTGAAACTGCTAAACTTCTTGCTTTGAGAGAAGGCTTGCTGGTAAGTTCATCTTAAAGATATAATGGGCTCCTCGATGGTCTTACCTATTTCTCATGTCTTGGCTTTGTTAGTAGCTTGATTTGAACTGTCCATGCCATATGGTGTACTTTTGCGAGAGAGAGAGAGAGAGAGAGAGAGGAAGGGGGAGAGGCAGTGTTTTTAATGCTATTCTATTTCTATTATAAATATATTGCAGGTGGGGATATCATCTGGTGCTGCTGCCGCTGCTGCAATTAAGATTGCAAGGAAGCCAGAAAATGCAGGAAAACTTATTGTTGTAAGTTTATCTACTGTTCATGTTCATCTGGCATCTGATTTTCTTCTGTGAATGCGGTTGTTAGTGCTACTTTAGATGCAATATCAATGTGCTTAAGATTCTTAGAAGAGTTGTTTATTTAATTGCCAATCATTGGTAGAAGCTTCTAGCATTAGTTTTCTAAGATATCATTTAGTCGTTATAGATGCAGTCGATGGCTCTAATTGTGCAGTTGTTCTTGTAAGGATTACATTGATACACACACACACATTTTATGCTGGTGGTGTTTTTCTTCTTTTTGTGGTTTTTGTTCTTTGTTTTTTTGGAATAATATGACCTTGTTTGAGTTTGACTTTGTTGATGATAATTGTTGTGCGCAACCACTGCAGCTTCGTAATAAGAAAAAGTACTCCATTCAATATCGTCCCGCTTATTATATTTACCATATCCCATCACTAATAAGCTCATTGAATACCTGAATAGGTGGTCTTTCCAAGCTTTGGAGAGCGTTATCTCTCATCTGTGCTCTTCGATTCCGTAAAGCGAGAAGCAGAGAACATGATCTTTGAGCCTAAAATAAAAAGCCAAATTAATCTTTTGGTGCTTACATGATTTACATCTGAAGTACGAGTCATTTGCTGCTTCTCAAGTTGCGTTCTCTTTGGTTCGTGAATATTCTTTTTCCATATGGATCTGTAAAATATATAGGCTTTTCTGCTGGCTTGTTAATCAGTTAGGATTTAATAATACTACCAGAATTTTGCGGGCTGGCATATTCAACCTCCCTCATAATTATAGATAATTAAGCAGATAATGATGCCAAGAACTGATGCCTGTACTAATTTTATTTGCTATTCATGTCCTGGATTTTGTATGTTTCTTTGTTGGAACTTCTGATGGAGAAAAACACTCGTTGTAAACCTGATTCATTTTATTATATATAAGACACTCCAAATTGGGATGGAGGTCAACTTGCCAACATGTGTCATATTTTTATCAACCAGGTTTTGTCCTGTTTCCTTTTCTTGCTTCTCCCTGCTCTGCTCTCCCCCTTCCCCCTCCCAATTTACAATTTATCAAAAGATTCAAAGAACCTAAACATAACATGGGTAAAATATGAAAATATTGTCTACATTTTTAGCTGCTAATGGTTCACCTTTGCTCAGTGCTACCATGCCCATAGGGCAGGGGCCAGGTGGTACATTTATGAGGATATTCTTCTTAAATTTCCATATTTTTACACTCATCTTTTAAGATTTTACTCTATATTTTTATTAATCTTGGATTGTAAGGGAGGCGTTTGGAATTGAATGGTCTGTAGTTCTCTTAATCTACATTCCTGTCATTGTTTAGGAAGCCTCATTAATTTTTTTAGCCAGAGAAGTTTTAGAGATCACATTTTATAGCTTGAGAAGTATACGGTTCAGGCCAAAGCATTAGTAAGAAAGTTCAATTGGTAGGATTTTAGCTGGTAAGCTAATACTCACATGGTTCCTAGGTCTCTGTGACCTTCTGTCTACCTGGGGTTGGATCCTTCTGGTGTCTAATCTTCAATTTTAGCCCAAAGGATAGAAAAGCTAGTAGGTTTCTAGACAGCAAATTGCTGTATTGCACTTATGTGAAACAACTTGTGAATCCATAGTATGAGGATGTTTCCTACTTTCCTTGCATAGTTAGATTAATTATTTTTGGGTGGCTCAGATAAACATAGCTTGGCCTAGAATCCTGACCACCTGAGAAATTTAGGCTTTGCCCTGAAATCCTGTACTGCCAGAAAAATTAAGGAGAACTATCTTATAACAATAATATGGCCATTGGTTTGTTTCCTTCCCGTGGATGATTTGGGGAATTAAATCAATTAGATGTGCAAGAGTAATATCAGTACACTTGGTTAATGTGACAAAAAATGTAAAATTGCTTATAACCCAGTTAAGTAACCTAAAAGTGAAGGATCCAGTGAATTGCTAGTTATTTACAAGACAAAGTGAAAGCTGATTGTTAGAAATATATAAAGCCATTAATGTAACCGAATAGCTTAAGTTTTTGGGTTGAATTTGTTCTTTACATAGTATCAAAGTCTTGGTATCACAGGTTCCATCCTCACCGCCTCTCATTATTCTCTTGTGGAGTTTCTTAGCATAGGTAGGATGAGATTGATGCATCATTCACCCTTCAAGTCCAATAGACTCTCGTGTGAGGTGGCATGCTAGAGATATATAAAACTATTAATATAGCCTCACCCAATAGCTTAATGTTGAATTATTTCTTTATAGTGATAACACCTAGGAGAAGATGGTTGCTTGCTTGTGATAGTTGAGTGTCTGCTGATCTTGTTTCGAAGGGGTGTAAAGGTTTCAATTTCTTTCGCTGTGCCCATTTTTTGAGCGTTGGTGGTCATAATGACAGCCAATCGCTGTGCTTCCTGTTTTATGTTACGATTCTTGGGTGATGAACTATATATATGTTGAAGATGCGAAATCAGGGGTGAACTATATATATATATATATATATATATATATATATATATATATATATATATTGCTTGAGACAATGTTATCTCCGCCCACCACAAAACTACGTCGTTTAATTTATTTATTTTCTTATATTAATTGATTCATCTTTGAATGGTTATGATTCCTTTTTTCTCTTTCTTCCTTTATCACCATTGATCTATCTTTGTACGGTTATGATTTAGTAGCCGGAGATAACATTGTCTCAAGCAGCTTGAGAAATGATAAGCCCTATATATATATATATATATATATATATATATATATATATATATATATATATATATATATACACATGGATTGAGGCTTGGATCTTAACTATAAATGAGTTTACTTCCTTCTTCCTTTGTTGTTGGATTCTTATTCTTAATATAATCTTCAGTTGAATTGAATGGATTGTCTATTGAATTATGATATTTAGTATATCTGTATTAATGTTGAATTTGCAGATATCTAAAATTACTGAAGAAGGTGCCAACTATTTTCCTACCATTCTCACTGGTTTCATGCTCTCCTTTGCAATACTCACAGTTAATTAAATTAATTTGAGTTGTAGAGACTCGCATCTTGTCCAACTTAGCATTCAAACTGGCGAGCTGTTGAGATATAATCTTATGTTCAGCTAACGCCGCATCATTATTCCCCAGTTGCAGAAGTCCCTTCCTTGGTTGAACTAGTTGCAATGCCATAGATGCATTCTCGTTCTTTGCCATGTAGTCAATCAGCTCTAAAGTTTGAGCTGTTGTTTTCTTTCATATGGTTCCACCAGCTGCACCATTAACAATCATTCTGGAATCTGGTGTCATCCCATTGTAAAAGACTCTGACTTTCTTTCCGTCAGGCAAATCATACTGGAGGCACTTTCTGATCAGTTCTTGGAATCTGGTCCAAGCTGCACACAGAGTCTCTCCTGGCTGTTGAGTGAAGTTGGTAATTTCATTAACCAACTTGTTGTACTTCTCCATGGAAAAGTGCTCAGCGAAGAACTTGGCTGCCAGATCATCCTATGTTCTGATACTGTTGGGAGCTTGTCGATCCAACCATATGAGAGTTTTCCCTGTTACAGAAAAAGGGAACAACCGGAGTCTAATTGCATCATCTGATACCCCGTGGTGCTTGGTTGTTTCACAGATTCTTAGAAATCTGTCCATTAAATCATGGGTTCATAATCTTCTCCACCAAACAGAGTTTTCTCCACCAATCCTATCAGTGACAGATGAATATCATAATTGTTAGTATCGATTTGTGGTCTGACGATGCTTGAATTTGGCCTTGTGAAAAGAGGAGAAAGGATTAACTCCATCAATTCATCCTCCGGTGGTGGTGGATTTTGAGCTGCCATCTCGGGTTCTGCTTTTGGCTCTGAACTCGAGGATTCCTCTTGCTTCCTTAGCTTGGTTAGCTTCCGGTTCTTCTTTGCAGTCTTTTCGATTTCTGGATCAAACTGTAAAGTTTCTCGGTCTACTTTACCTCGCGTAAAACAGAGAAATCAAATTAGTAACAAAATAAAAATAAAAATTCCAATCTCAAATATCGAAAGTTAAAATCAATATTGGGGTAATTAATCCCCGGCAACGGCACCAAAAACTTGTTGCAAAATCGACAAGTATACCGTTCGTTTCAAGTAATAAAGTGATAAGTAAGATATCGTTCCCTCGAGGATTAATGCACCAAATATTAAATTAACTATTCCCCTTGAATTGGAAGAAAAGAATTCAGTTTGATTGTGAAAATATTTTGTGATTGTAATTTAAAAACAGAAATTTAAAAACAATAATATTCAAAAGCATTCAAGAATATCAAGAACGTCAAGAAAATATGAATGATTAAAATTTGTAAAAGAACTGTAGCCAGGATGCACTTCACCTTTGATCCTCCTTTAGAAATCTGAATTAATTCTTATAATTAATTAACTCATTAGTTCAAGCAATTCATATTTCTCAAATCAATTAGTTTAGTGTATTCAACCCTTTAACCCAATTATTAGAATCCTAGTGTCCTAGTAATCCCTCTTGAATCAAGCATTAAGTGGATGAATTAAAAAGTTTGCAATTCATACAAGTCTATGTCTAGATCATATACAAATTGCTATTTTATCCCAGTCTGAATTAAAACTCCAATATGCCTATTGTGAGCTTTAACCCTCAAAGCCCTATAATAGTCTGAGCAGTTCTAATAAGGATATGGAAAAATTTATTCAACGTAAAATAAAACTAACTGAATTAAAATAATTATAAAAACAATTCAGAAATCATAAAGGGTTCACATCGGATCCATGACCCTAACTACAAAAAGAAAACTTAGTCAAACATATCTGGCTTTAACAAATCAAAATAGTAAAAAGAATTCATAACAAAGAAAGAAAAGAAAAAGATGAAGAAGAAAAATCAATGGTCTTCAATCTTCAAGTTCTCCGGAATCCTGATCTCCCTCGTGAGTCTCCTCCTCTGAATATTGTTGCCTCTCTCGAATTGTGTCTTTGAGTTTCCAAGAGATGCCTTTTTATAGGGATGAAAATCATATCTTTTAATTTTCCATCATATCTTCAATGGAATCTTCACTAGAATCTCTAATCATATCTTTCCCTTTTTATTTAATGGAAAGTTTTTCTTAAAAATATTCAAACGAAGATTTGATAAGATCTTGAATGATTCAGAAATCCAAAGCAACTCTACTTGATCTCTCCAACTTATCTCTTTATTGAGCTGAAATTTACTGCAAAATATAAGAAATCTTATGAGAATATTATTGAAAATAAAATAATAATTTAATTATAATTCTCATAATTTTTAATTACTTTTAAATCAATTTCATGCTCATATTAACCTTTAATATATAATAAATTGGAGACTCATCACGTGCCAATAGTGTTAGGTAACAACAACTAAAATAGAATTGAGACAAACCACTAATTAACTACTCATTTTCCTAGACATCAATTGTATAATTAACTTTATCTTGATTTTACAAGTTAGGTAAGTAACAAATACGTCAATTGTAGTGACACATAAGATTTATGTGGAAAACTCAATTTCGAAAAAACCATGGGCAAAATCAAAGAAGATTTCATGATGTGTAAGAAATTTTTACCTCTCTCTAAAA